ATCGTGAGGTTGCTACAACCTAGCCTATGAATGAATGTTTACAACGTAGGTGCACACATGTCGAGAGAAAGATTTGAGGTGACACATGGACAGACAATGACACACACTTGCCTGTATCTAGCTGATCTAGGGTGTAATCATTAGTCAAACAGTTGCAAACAAGAGTTTCTATTGGACAAATTCAGGTATGTTTATCTCCGTTTCATTTGCTTCTGTTCAAGAAATGTTTTTCAACAGAATCGGTGGAATGAATATACCCCTGATTACATGCAAACAGTTCACTTTCATAGCCACATATAAACAGCTCGTTGTATTCCTTCTCGCATCTACGCGCTCTCCTCCTCTCACCTTTTCCCTTCACTTGTGGACTTCAGTGTACAACACATCAGATGTCCGTGACCCGGCGAAGAAACCTTGATATCATAATCGCTACACACACAGCCTACATCGTTGTCGCCATATTAGCTAAAGTAAAGTCATAATCACATAGCTAATAGAACTAACGCGTTAGTAAACCCGCTACAATCATGCAGTACAGTGTACAGCCAGTAAGCAGTTTAGCAGTTACACCGGCGGGCCCCGGTGGCAATAAATTAGTAAAACCAAAAGCTTACCTTGACTTGGAAGAGTTCCAGTGTTGGATAGTCATAGCCTGCTAGCTAACATAGCATCCCTCTATTTGAGCCGGTTGTTTGAGCAGGCTAAACTAGCTAGCTGCATTTGATAGCTAAGTAAGTGAAAGTGAATTTTTTTAAGGAAATATAGCTAGCTCTCGCTCTCTCTCTTGCTCCTCCATTTGTTCAAAACTGTTCAACTATTGTCTTTCTCTCTCTTTGAGTCATCTACTCACCACATTTGATGCACTGCAGTGCTAGCTAGCTGTAGCTTATGCTTTCAGTACTAGATTCATTCTCTGATCCTTTGATTGGGTGGACAACATGTCAGTTCATGCTGCAAGAGCTCTGATAGGTTGGAGGATGTCCTCCGGAAGTTGTCATAATTACTGTTTAAGTCTATGGAAATGGGTGAGAACCATGAGCCTCCTAGGTTTTGTATTGAAGTAAATGTACCCAGAGGAGGACGGAAGCTACACAATGCTGCTACCATACAGAGTGCTGTTGAGGCTTCTGTAGACCTTCATTGCATTGTGTTTTAATCAATTATTTGGTGACATGTGAATATATTTTGTATAGTTTTATCTAAAAAGGATAACTTTAGAAATGTTTCACTATTTGTATGAAATTCACTGAGGAGGATGGTCCTCCCCTTCCTCCTCTGAGGAGCCTCCACACTCCACTAAGGCTCTACCACAATGTCACGAAAGTGTTAATGAAACGCTTAGTACTTACGTTATGTTTAGCTCAATAAAGTCAATAAAGCTTTGAATTTCGTCTCATAAAAGTTTGAGTTGACCCATGGAGGCCAACACTTTCTATTTGTATATAGTATGAAAAAAATAAACACTAGTAAATGGGTAAAATGAAAAAGGATAAACCAAGAAACATTTTTATTTCAGCCTGTCACGGATGGCCTAGCTGTCACCTGCCACCCACAGCCTATTAAAACATAATTTAGAGCTGTGTTGACTGTGGAGAACATTATGCACACTCAATACAGTCTCCTGGCCCAGCCACATTAGTGATTAAACCTGCTGTCACAATACTAAGAGAGCCTCTCTCTCTATCTCTAATTTATCGCACTGCTTTGCTTTATCTTAGGCAGGTCGCAGTTGTAAATGAGAACTTGTTCTCAACTGGCTTACCTGGTTAAATAAAGGTTAAATAAAATAAAAATAAAAATCTCTCTCTCTCTCTCATTGCTTAAGTGGCAGACAAGCTTGTCACGCTCTGGCGAGGCCACCTATGGATTCGATGTCCAATTCTGTTTTTCATGTCTCCAACTGACCATTCAATTGATTCTTCCCCGGTGGCTGGTTTATGATGCAGAATAGAAATCTAATTCCACGCATAAGAGGTTGGTCCACTCCATGATGACAATGGACAATGAAATGCAATGGAAACAAATCTATTCATTGTCTGTGCTTACAATCATGATTAAAGTCATTCGGAGGGCCAGCATTATAATTCATTGCAGTTAAATACTTTTGAGATTTCTAATTGGGCGAGGGGTTGAGGTCGCAGTGTTACCTGAAGGAATACCAATCCAATCCTTCTGAGACTCTGTTTCAGTATTCTTCCCTGTGCTCAGACCCATTTTAGATTTCTGCCCTTTGAGGTCAATATCTACAGTAATTGATCTTAAAGACAGACTGAAAAGACAGACTGAAAATGTGCTATCCCACAAGCAATGTCCTTAATCAATAACATGGCGCTGAAAAATAATACACGTTCAAGTAGCAGTCTGAGAAGAGACAGATACTGTACCTAAAGAATGGCAAAACATGGTCCAATGATGCAAATATCCTAATGATAGTTTGACATGCTATGCTGTTGAGGAGGTCATTCACGGTGCTCCTATGGCCCAATTCATGAACACACACTGACTAGGTTACAATGCATTGTGCTTCTTCTTAGGTTATTCATCAAAACAATTAACCCAGAAGATGTCTAGGGCACTCCTTCTTGCAGCACTCTGCACATGTCAGGTAATTGATATGCAGTGTGTTCCACTGACATGAAGACACCCAACAGATCACTCACTGGTGGGATTCACAATCCAAGATTTTCATTCGATAAATATAGTAATGAACAATAGTTTACCACATCAAGCAAGTTACATTTCAAGAATAATGTAAATGTCTTTTTTCATTATAATACATCAATGACAATGAAATTATCAGAAATTGACACATTCTCTTAAACAAAGCGTATCTGTAAGTGAACCTATTTGAGCCATAATGCACTGAACCTGTAACAGTAGTCTATGTGCAGCTATCCTTTTGTCTAAGTGCATGGGCTTTGGAGACTAAAATCCGTTTCTTTATTTTGTCTGCATGCTCCCTTGTCCTTGCACTAGACGGCACTAAAATCCATGCACTTGGTTATAGAAATCTATGGAGAGCGCGTTTCACAGCACGTGATGTGGCTTTCTAAAGCGATGCTTCATAAATATGCAGATAAAAAAACCTCAGACATCGCAGCAACCAGAACTTTGCCCCAGTGCGAAGGACACACATGAGAGCGCGAATGCCAAAGGAAATGAGCGCCCATCAAGAAACCTTATAAACCAATAAATAACCACTTAGATATTTTCTGTATAATGTTAAATGTTTTTACCTTTCCTTGTTTTGATGATTGGATGTATAGTTATTTAGTCAGGCATTGCGCGTCAAGGTTGGATTAATGATTGGATACAGTTTGGGTGGAGGACGTCTACACCTGGGCGAGCAATGTGAAGGTAAATGCATTTTTAAATTGTATTTCATTTACCATTTTAATTTATTAGAGAATCATTTTTTCCCCAAATGACAGAGTCACGTATAATTGAATTTATTGCGATTTATTAGGCTATCATAAATTATTTAGGCCTATGTGTCCTCCTAATTCAGAACTCTTTAATTAATTTCACAATACAAAACCGCTATTAAAGCCTGCATTTGTATTGACTTCAACACATTAACCTAAAAGTTAACGAAGCCTATACAAATGGCATTGAATAGTAGATCTATAATATATTTTTTTATTCTATTAATTTAATATCTATTAATTAATTTGAAAAATAAAGGTGAAACCCATTGAAAGAATAATAATCAATTTAAGGGTAGCCTATAGTGGTGAAGGTTAAACTAACGTCTACAAAGTAGGGCATTTATCCTATTAGTCTAATATTTTGACATTGTTCATGCAGAAAAAGTGTTAATGAATTTAGGACTCTTGAAATATATTTAGTAAAATATAAATCAGTGTTATAAAGGCTTTATTCACTTTTAGATAACGGTATACCCCATCAGCTTCGGTATGACTGCACCTGTGTGCACCATCCTATGGCAGCTGCTAATCATGAGAATGATTGCACAAAATATCAGTAAAGGGAATGTATAACAGGAGTCGTATTTAGTGATATCATGTATTCAAACATGAACAAAATCGACTGTCACCTGTTGCACATGAGTTATCTGACAGGAATGGAATTTACTCTCTGTGTGATGTGCAGGGCAACAGCTTATTACCAGTGAACTACCTTTGCCCGTCCCTAATGGTCAGCATACTCTATCAAATTTTTTTATGAAAAAGACTGCTTCTCAGGCTAATGATTATCATTAGATAATTAGAGTGTAATATAATTTATAGAATGAGATATGGCAGGTTGTAGTTAAAACACCCTGATGATTTTGCGCATTCAAGCAATGTGAGAAAAGCCCAATCTAAGACATGGTTTAATTTTGGCAATGGAATATGGGATTCAATGCCATTCAATGCCAGCGTCAAATAACATTCAGCTCAGACACCCATACATACCCCACAAGACATGCCACCAGGGGTCTCTTCACAATCCCCAAGTCCAAAACGAATTCACGGCAACGTACAGTATTATACAGAGCTATGATCGCATGGAACTCCCTTCCATCTCCAATTACTCAAGCAAACAGCAAAACTATCTTTAAAAAAAGATTAAACAACATCTCATGGAACAGCGGGAACTGTGAGGGGACACACACACAAAAACACAGACACTCTAACACACACATCATTTTTTCTTGTTGTATTGTTTGTATTATTATTATTATTTTATTTTATTTATTTATTGTTTGTATATCGTTGTATTTTTTATTTGTGTGACTGGCCTTGCCTATCAGTGTACCAGTGTTTTGTTACTTGTTATGTTTTGTGTTTTTTGTGGACCCCAACAAGAATCACTGCTGCCTCTGCAAAAGCTAATGGGGATCCAAAGAAAAAAAGAAAAGCATAATTATGTTTGTGCTTTCAAATTTCTCTTGTTCAATGTTAAGGTGTTATAATGTCCACAAACATTTCTCTCATCATTTCATAGGTTAACCAGGGATCAGCTTAAACTGCAGTGTTCACCTCTCAGGCCCAGTCATGAAGTCTGTGCTAGATAGTGTGGCTGACACCACCTTCCGGACTATAACCTCTGGACTGCAGTACCTGGGCTCCAACGATGCCAGCTATGATGACACCACCATCAACGCTGACTTCACTAAGGGTGGATTGTCTGTCCAGAAGCCTCTCTCTGATTTCCGCAGTAACTCTTTCCCAGACAAGGTGGCTGGAGATGAGGAACTCATCCTCAAAGGCATTCCATTCTTCCCTACCAATGCCACAGACCTGTTTGGCAACCGGAGTGGCTTTGGAGATGAGGGAACCGGAATCCAGTGTGGGGAGAACTTCATGGACATGGAATGCTTCATGATCCTTACCCCTAGCCAGCAGCTGGCTGTGGCGGTGATGTCACTCACCCTGGGCACCTTCACGGTGTTGGAGAACCTTATCGTGCTGTGTGTGATCCTCCAATCCCGCACCCTGCGCTGCCGCCCCTCCTACCACTTCATAGGCAGCCTGGCTGTAGCCGACCTGCTGGGCAGCGTCATCTTCGTCTACAGCTTTCTGGACTTCCATGTGTTCCACAGAAAGGACAGCCCCAATGTGTTCCTCTTCAAGCTGGGTGGAGTCACCGCCTCGTTCACAGCCTCTGTGGGAAGCTTGTTTCTCACTGCTATAGACCGCTACATCTCCATCCACAGGCCCATGGCCTACAGGCGCATCGTCACGCGGACCAAGGCTGTTATCGCCTTCTGTGTGATGTGGACTATCTCCATCGTCTTCGCAGTGCTCCCTCTGCTGGGCTGGAACTGCAAGCAGCTCAACTCGGTCTGCTCAGACATCTTTCCGCTTATCGATAAGAAGTACCTGATGTTCTGGATCGGGGTGACCAGTGTGCTTGTCTTCTTCATCATCTACGCCTATATGTACATCCTGTGGAAGGCCCACCACCACGCCGTGCGCATGCTGAGCCGTACCTCCCAGAAGAGCCTGGTGGTGTACTCGGCGGATGGGACTAAGGTGCAGACCATGCGCCCTGAGCAGACACGAATGGACATCCGCCTGGCCAAGACACTGGTCCTCATCCTGGTGGTGCTGGTCATCTGCTGGGGCCCCGTGCTGGCCATCATGGTCTACGATCTGTTCTGGAAGATGGATGACGATATTAAGACAGTGTTTGCTTTCGCCAGCATGCTCTGTCTGCTCAACTCAACTGTCAACCCAGTCATTTACGCCCTGAGGAGCAAGGACATGCGACACGCCTTCCTCAGCTCGTGCCAGGCATGCTGGGGCAGTGCCCAGCAGCTGGACAATAGCCTGGAGTCTGACTGCCAGAGCAGGCACATTGCTGCCAACAGGGCTGCAGAGAGCTGTGTGAAGGCCACTGTGAAAATAGCCAAAGTGACCATATCTGTCTCCACTGAGACATCTGCAGAAGCTGTCTAGCAGGTCATCATCATGTCACAGCGATATTGTGTCACGAGAAGGTGGTGGACCTTCCACAGGATGTAATGAATTACACACATAACTAAATGCTTCAGCGGTTCATGACTTAATTGTTTTATGTTTATGAGGTGTGCCGCTATAGTGTTACAGTGCCAAATAGAGTTTTAAAGTGATGAAGAGAGTGGATGGAGACTGTTGGCCTTAGACTTCATGATGATCAAACTGTAGAAGGCTTAGTATATTTTTGTACTGTGAATTCAGGTTCTGAACCAATGATATAGTCATTCATGGGATAAGGGGCTAATTAGGTTTTGGATTAGAAGTATGTTTTAATATGTTATCAAGATGCCAATATGTGTTCCATAAAGAAGACAAATCATGTAGGCTTTGAGCAGCCAGAAGTGGCTTTGTCCAGGCGTTATGTACAAATATACAGTGTTGTGTGAAGAGTTCCATTTTATTTACATAAGGGTCTAACTTTAATATGAATTTACTTAAGACATGTATGATCCATAAAGCAACAGAGGAACAGTTGCTCTTGTATTTTCTTTTTATACCTGTCTGAGTTTGTTATTTTTTTTTATACAGAAATAACTAACAAGACTTAGGATAAATAAAGTCTGACCTGACTTTGTGTAGACAGCTCCATTGACTGTTTGAGTCATCTTTCATATAGAAGCTGGATGAATCTGAAAACCACAGTCTTCAATTTAATGAAATAAATGTGCCATTTGAAGCCATAATAAGCTAATCTGCTTTAAATACTTATGAGATGTGTTCACTAAGTCAAAAATCTACAATGTCATGCTCTATAAGTTATTCGGCTTTTCACCTCTTTCACTCTACTCTTGGCTATAGTGGTATGTTTTCAATAAAAATGAATGTATAGCAAACAATTGTACAGTGTTACATACAATGCAGTTCAAAAAAGTTATTTAATTATGAGTCTGTCTTTAAAAAAGTTTGTCAACATAACAATGTATTGTATGGCTAAAGCTTGAGCACAGGTCATGAAAATTGAAATCTGTTTGCTGTGTGCTGGCCACACTACCATAATAATAATATAACTACATTCCATGGATTGAATTCAGATGACTATTAAGTGGATTTAATTTAATTCAGTACATTTGTGAATAACCTTGCAACTTGATAAAAGATTTTCAACCTACTGTTCAACACCTCATCAAATTGTTTCAGTGTTACCATAAATAAATAAATAAAACGTAGTACTGTTGATGAGGATTATATTGATTTTTGAGGAGATCACAAAAGCTACCCTAGTGCAGGCCTACAGCACAGTTTTTAGATAAACAAAACAAGAAGATAGCCTCTCTGTCAGTTTTTAGGTTGACTGCAGTACATTTTTATCAAAAGCAAGCCTTTCATTCATTAGCTAACAAAACATTAGAATGAGCCTCTTACAAGTGTTGATGAAAATTGTCATTTTCAATTATATATTATATAGGACTTTTAATATAGAACTATCACTCAGTTAGCATTGTTCTATAGACATTTATCTTGGTGTTAAACTACTACCGACAGCTGTTTACCAGTATGCTTTGCTGCCTCTTGTAATGTTGAGTGTTGGAAATCAAATGTCAACTGTTAAGTGGCTTCTGTACGGTGGTGGCATCTGAGAAGTCTGTGGGGGAAAATAAATCTGCGGTATTCAACTGTTTTTTTTCGTATTGCAATGTAATGTTTCCAAGCTTTTGAATAAAGTCACAGTTGGCTATCATGTCTGCTGCCCATGTTCATGATTATTTGATAAAGAGCTGTAGGCTAGTAGGTATAGTGTGTTCAGCCTACAAAATACAAGAAAATCACAATAGAACACATTTGATAAACTCATGAACTGTAATAAGTGACCCCAAGTTCCTGTTCGAATAGCACCCTTCCTTCCTCTCTTATTGGAAGTAATCTCTGATAACAAGGCGTTAGATATGTCACAAATAGGTGTAATCGTGGATCCACTCATATAATTTATACAACTATACACCCATAGCTTATACACCTACACCAACCATGGCAGGTGCTGTATGTTATTACTCTATCTCAAGAAGGCTGGAAGGCTGGAAGGAAGGACACTGAACAGAAGTCTATTTTGTCGAGGAATAAAAGGGGCTCCATGGTCAATCCAACATCTGCAGTGGCGGTACAGGATTTACTGCAGTGGCGGTACAGGATTAACTGCGATGCGGCCTCCGCAGAAGTCAGAGCAAACATACTTTTTGCGCTTCGTGGAGCAGAGCAGAGCTGTTGTGAAGGAATTTGTCAAGGAAGAGCGTTTGTGTTTTTACAGAACCTCCCTCCCCCACCTACCGTCAACCAATTATGTCAATGCGGAGCTATATGGAGCCCTCTGCATTGTCACAAAATTTGAGAGGCGCACGGTGATGCGGTATGCACCTTGATTTGGCCTCTGCACCCCTCTGGAGGCTCCGCAAATGCGTCACACCCCCCATACGAAGCCTCTGACCACATTTTCGGATCAAGCATAAATTGGATTTAAAGGGAAGCATGGCGTCCTGACGCTTTCTCGCCCTCTTGTGGACGATATACAACACTGCCCTCACTTTCTCACATCCACACAGGATGGGAATATCCCAACAACTCTTCATTGTCCACGTTATAGGCCTTTTTGGAAGATGGTTAATCAGAACAGGCCTGCTGTGATTACAATCTTGCAGGATGAATAATGATAATACTGCCAAATACAGTTGTTATAAACTGAGGGGCCTGGGATTGTGTGTCCCCTGTAGCTCAGTTGGTAGAGCATGGCGCTTGCAACGCCAGGGTTGTGGGTTTGTTTCCCACAGGGGGCCAGTATGAAAATGTATGCACTCACTAACTGTAAGTCGCTCTGGATAAGAGCGTCTGCTAAAATGACTAAAATGTAAAAATGTATGTATAAAGCACCTCATATTGAGTGCTGATCTACAATCAGTTCCTGCTGTCCATGTAATCTCATCCATTGTGATCTAAAATGGCAAAACTGATCCTTAATCAGCACTCATACTCTAAGACGCTTCATACATAGGACCCCCTACGTGGGACAGTGCTAATAGCACTGCTATACCTACTATAAACAGACATGCCTTTTTTGAACAGTTCAGATTTACAGCTGAACAGAGACACATGAAAGAGGCAATTCAATGAATTTCCTGGAGTATCCTTTAGGGGTTCTTCAAATTGAAACTGTGGGGGAACCCCTATAAGTTCTTCAAAGAACCCTTTCTAATGGATCCTCAAATAACCTTTTGAAGAACTTTTGGGGTTAATTTTTGAACTACCCCCCTCCCCTGTTATTATTATTATAACAATAAAAACAATAACACAACATTTTAGTTCTCAGTGTAATTAACTATGATTTTAGTGGCAAAGCAGAATTTCCAACTATGAGGTCAACTCCCAGCAGAGCCCCAAACTCTAAAAATTGGGGGTTCAACAAGGGTTCTTCTAAGCCCCTCAAAGTTCTTCAAAGAACCTTAGGGTTCTTGGCACTGAAATTTGCCACCAAAAGGTTCTTCCAAGAATCCCATTGGAGGTGGGGTTAATCGAGGAACCTCCTTAGTTGGTGAGGGTTATTGCAGGAACCTAACTGCCCAACTGAAACATTTGGATTTGAATTTGAAAGGACAGCAGGTGCAGGCACTTAACTGAAAAATGTAAAGATCTCCTCATTCCTCAATGTAAGGTAAGGTTTGTCCCTTGCATGATCTAAATTGATATTGTTTTCTGATTATACCATCTACCTTTTCATATTTGTGCAAATCTTTCTAAGACAGAAAATGGACACAATTCAATGGATATCAATCAACAAAGAGGTAAGGCTTGCGAAAGTATTCACCCCCCATGGCATTTTTCCTATTTTGTTGCCTTACAACCTGAAATTAAAATGGATTTTTGGGGGGTTTGTATCATTTGATTTACACAACATGCCTACCATTTTGAAGATGCAAAATATTTTTTGGTGTGAAACAAACAAGAAATAAGACAAAAAAACAGAAAACTTGAGCATGCATAACTATTCACCCCCCCCCCCCCCCCCAATACTTTGTAGAGGCACCTTTTGCAGCAATTACAGCTGCAAGTATCTTGGGGTATGTCTCTATAAGCTTGGCACATCTAGCCACTGGGATTTTTACCCATTCTTCAAGGCAAATCTGCTCCAGCTCCTTCAAGTTGGATGGGTTCCGCTGGTGTACAGCAATCTTTAAGTCATACCACAGATTCTCAATTGGATTGAGGTCTGGGCTTTGACTAGGCCATTCCAAGACATTTAAATGTTTCCCCTTAAACCACTCAAGTGTTGCTTTAGCAGTATGCTTAGGGTCATTGTCCTGCTGGAAGGTGAACCGCCGTCCCAGTCTCAAATCTCTGGAAGACTGAAAGGTTTCCCTCAATAATTTCCTTGTATTTAGTGCCATCCATCATTCCTTCAATTCTGACCAGTTTCTCCCAGTCCCTGCCGATGAAAAACATCCCCACAGCATGATGCTGCCACCACCATGCTTCACTGTGGGGATGGTGTTCTCGGGGTGATGAGAGGTGTTGGGTTTGCACAATACATTTTCCTTGGTGGCCAAAAAGCTCAATTTTACTCTCATCTGACCAGAGTACCTTCTTCCATATGTTTGGGGAGTCTCCCACATGATTATTTCTTTCTTTAAGCAATGGCTTTTTTCTGGCCACTCTTCCGTAAAGCCCAGCTCTGTGGAGTGTACAGCTTAAATCTCTGCTGTGGAGCTTTGCAGCTCCTTCAGGGTTTTCTTTGGTGTCTTTGTTGCCTCTCTGATTAATGCCCTCCTTGCCTGGTCCGTGAGTTTTGGTGGGCGGCCCTCTCTTGGCAGGTTTGTTGTGGTGCCATATTCTTTCCATTTTTTAATAATGGATTTAATGGTGCTCTGTGGGATGTTCAAAGTTTCTGATATTTTTTTATAACCCAACCCTGATCTGTACTTCTCCACAACTTTGTCCCTGACCTGTTTGGAGAGCTCCTTTTTCTTCATGGTGCCGATTGCTTGGTGGTGCCCCTTGCTTAGTGGTGTTGCAGACTCTGGGGCCTTTCAGAACAGGTGTATATGACAGATCATGTGACACTTAGATTGCACACAGGTGGACTTTATTTAACAAATTATGTGATTTCTGAAGGTAATTGGTTGCACCAGATCTTATTTAGGGGCTTCGTAGCAAAGTGGGTGAATACATATGCACGCACCACTTTTCTGTTATTAATTTTTTAGCATTTTTTGAAATAAGTTATTTTTTTCATTCTACCTCATCAATTTGGACTATTCGGTGTATATCCATTATATAAAATCCAAATAAAAATCCATTTAAATTACAGGTTGTAATGCAACAAAATAGGAAAAATGCCAAGGGGGATGAATACTTTTGCAAGGCACTGTACCGTCCTCCTCCCTTCCCTCTTCAATAAATATCCCATAGGCCTCTACATTATGGACAAGGTATGTCTATGAAAACCATTATCAAAACAGTTTTTTTTCCATTCACATTTATCACGGTAAACATCAACACATTAACATCAACACGCCATAGTATATACCCATTGGACTTGCCCAATGGGTATATCCTATGGCGTGTTGATGTTAATGTGTTGATGTTCTCCGTATCCATAGCCAGAAGGATTTAGCAGTGCCTGGTGATCGAACAGGTTTCCTGTTATATTCATCAGAGGTGTAGGGAGGGTGAAGTCTGTGAATCCCAAAAAATGTAATTATACATATGATTAACAAAACACACAACAGTATTCATACTTTGGTTTTTGTGGTGAATGTGAATGAAAGAAACCTGTTTTCATAATGGTTTTCATACACATACCTTGTCCATAATGTAGAGGCCTATGGGATATTCATTGATGAGGTAAGGGAGGAGGACGGTAAATGTGATCTGCATAACATACCAATACCAATTGACATACCTTTGTATGCCTCATTGTCTGTATACCTGCAGACACAGACACAAAAGTGAGAAGTTCAGTCATCTGCACCCAATACAGCTAGCCTTCAACATATTCTTATAGCCTACATATTCTAACCTCTTTGTTGATTGATATCCATTGAATTGTGTCCATTATCTGTTTTAGAAAGATTTGCACAAATATGAAAAGATAGATGGTATCATCATAAAACAATATCAATTTAGATCATACAAGGGACAAACCTTAGCTTAAATTGAGGAGATCTTTACATTTTTCAATTAAGTGTCTTCCCCTGCTGTCCTTTCAAATTCAAATCCAAATGTTTCAGTTGGGCAGTTAGGTTCCTGCAAGAACCCCCACCAACTAAGGAGGTTCCTCGATGAACCCCACCTCCTATGGTTTTCTTTGGAGGACCTTTTGGGGGCCTTTTTCAGTGCCAAGAACCCTAAGGTTCTTCGAAGAACATTGAGGATCTTAGCCGAACCCTTGTTGAACCCCTAATTATCAATAATAATAATATGCATAACAATAATGACAACAACAACAATAACACAATAGTTTAGTTCTTATGCACTCACTAACTGTAAGTCGCTCTGGATAAGAGCGTCTGCTAAATGACGTAAATGTAAAATGTATATCTAAATCTGGACATAAACAACATCTAAAGAAGGAAGTGCACCTCAAACACAATGGGGCCAGTCCTAAACTAAACTGAAAGTATGTAGCCTACTGACATGGGGATGTCCCATATGAGAGAGAAACATTAAGGAACATTTAACTTTTGTCCAATCATTTGAAAAGTCTGTGGGATGAGCTGTTGAATGAGCTGTAATAATAGATCTCCTGGAAACTTCATGGGCTGCGCTTAGACAGGCAGATCCATTTTTTTTCTCCACTAATTGGTCTTTTGACTAATCACAGCAGATATTTTTCAGAGCTGAGTGAAAAAAATATAATGATTGGTATGCCTGTCTAAACGCAGCTCATGTTGCTTTTTTCCTGCTGGTAAATTAGTCACATTGCAGCACAGAACAATAGAGAATAGATCTTCCACGGTACTGTTATTTACAAGAACAATAAAAAGAAGTTGAATCAGATATGCACATTCAGAAATGAGACTGTGTGCAATGACTGGAGGACACCTTTTCAAACTTCCTGTTCTTCGTTAGGAATTAACCAATAGCTTTATTCAAATTCTTCAAATCATTTGGCATTTAAATTGGTCAGTGCTATGCAGAATCCTTGGGACGTCCCTACCCAAAACCCTTACCCTAACTTTAACCCCTACCCTTAGCCTTAGCCTAACCCTAACCCTAACCCTAACCCTAACCCTAACCATAACCATAACCCTTACCCTAATCCTTATCTAACACTAACCCTTACCTTAACCATTTTACATTTAAGCTTCAATGGGGGGTATGGACGTCCCAATGATCCCAAATAGCACGAACCCATTTAAATTTGGTGAGTGCTTTTGGCATTCACGGTTTATGTGGGGAATGTAGTGAAAAAGCCCAAAGTATTGCATACGAACGAGTATAAACTGTATAAAAAATAAACTACATTTACCAGCACGACATTCATTAATTGCGCATGCCCATTAGCTCGGAATTTGAAATTAATGTTGTTTTGACGCCATGTTGGTTTTCATCGAGGAGAGAGTTTGACGACGGTCCTGGAAGATAAAAGTACTTGTCTGAAATCTACTATCATCTGGTTTTATATGATAATTCACATAAAAGGATTGATTGAATGAATGTCTACTATCAATAGACCATTACAGGGTCTGAGTTTTGGATGGTATTAAGACTCCGAGAGTCGAAAGAACGAAGCCATTTGTCCCTAACCTGAATTTTCCCTTGAGGGTAGTCGGAGAAGAAAGCCAGCGGAGGGGCCCAGTCACAGGAACTCCGGTGTGCCCTCTAATTGCGAAAACCACAGCTTTATCTCGTTTTTATAGCGACATAATATTGTCAACGGAATGGCTTGTGGGGCTACTTTGAAAAGGACTATGGATTTCGATCCATTGATGAACCAGGCGTCCCCCAAAAGGAGGAGATGCACCCCAATGTCTCAAGCTGCCTCAACATCATCACCCCAGAAATATCTGCGTATGGAGCCCTCACCATTTGGAGAAGTGTCGTCCAGACTCACAACCGGTTAGCAACATTTCATAGCTACTAGATATAAGGCATGAGTGGGAATCTATTAATGAAATGTGTTATTAGGGCACCTTTTGTGAGGCTAGCTAGATGTGTTCGCTTAGCTAACTAGTTGGCTAGGCAATGTCAGTCAAATGCCTGACTAGTAGCTAACGTTACAGTACTGATAAGCTTGTAAGCACTTCTTGCATTTGTTGTTGAAACCTGTGACTTAGACACAACTGTTTGCTCAACTAGCTTGCTAACTAACGTAACCTAACATGGCAGTTAGGAGGCCGGTGATAAACCTTCAAGCTAAGCTAACTAGCATAGATCTTATTAATGAGCATTTGACATTTAGCCAGACATTTGGCTGATAAACACTTCTTGACTTTAACAGCAACAGGATGATGGCATGTAGCCATATTGGCAGTATATTAGTCGAACATAGTGGTGTAAAGTACTTTAGTAAAAATACTTCAAAGTATTACTTAAGTAGTTTTTTGGGGTTGGTCCAAGTTTGGGAAACCCTGCCCTAGTTTGTGCTTCGGGATGGGGTTCTCATTTGCTAGGGAAGTGGCTAGCTAGAGTTTTGTGGCTTTTGTCCTTGAATTAAGGTGGTATTGTGGTTAGTTACTTAGTGAAATATCAAGACGACTCACAAGGTATATTGCTAGAGTATGTTGTGCAAATTGTTATTTGGAATGATTGATTAGCTTGCCCTAACCAAATCTTGCCCTTGTTTTCCATTCCAGAGCAAATCCTGCACAATATCAAGCAAGAGTACAAGCGGATGCAGAAGAGAAGGCACCTGGAGAACAGCTTTCAGCAGACCGAGGGCTGTTGTCCCCTGGAGTCACAACCCCATAGCTCCATCATTAATGGATCCAGTCTGCCAGGTATGTCCAATCTGCTTTTACTCAGGAAGGACATCAGGAGGAATAAAGACACATCTGAGGGGGTTCATCAAATGGAAACCATTGTTTGCCTCACAACAATGTTAATCCCTTTTGTTAACTTGCAGTTGTATGTCTCTTGGCTTCATTGAATGTCAGAATTTTTTGGCCAAAGTTTCTCATGTGATTTTGAGAATGTTCTCCCTGATAATGGATTCTTATTCTCTATACAGGAACATCTTCTGGTGCCGTCTCCCCATCAAGAAAAGAGCAACCTCTATTTACTTTGAGACAGGTTGGGATGATCTGTGAACGACTACTCAAAGAGCGAGAGGAGAAGATAAGGGAAGAATATGACGAAATATTGACAACAAAACTAGCAGGTTTGTTGGAGAAACTGTTTCTGTGACTGTTTCTGTGACCTTTGTTTCTCTGCAGAATATATAGCACTATCTATTTATTGTCAGACCTTTTTTACTCTCTTTTTGCAGAGCAATATGACGCTTTCGTTAAGTTCACTCATGATCAGCTAATGCGGCGATTTGGAGAGCAACCTGCTAGCTGTGAGTAACAAACTTTTACTCTGTCAGTGCAGTGTTTACCATATATTAATTTAGCAGCATCGCACCGCCGCTGCTAAATTGTTGCCACCACACCCCAAAAATTTGACTGGGGGAAATATAGCGACGCTAATGATAAGTATTTTGGTAGATGGAAAGACTTTCCCCAAAATCTTCTCAATTAAATGTTAACTAGCTACAAAGTAGCCTATGCCTACCTGTCAGAATGACATCATGATTATTTCCATCAATCCAATAGGCAATTGTTTTGCAAACGCCATCACATGTGCGCTACAGAAACACTGCTAACCAAACAGTGCTAGGTGCATGCGTCCTTGAATAAAAGGGTAACCACTAAAAAAATCTTAAATGTCTTAGATGTTTCCCAGACCTCTAAAGTGGTCTCCTGGTGTGGTTTTAGCATTGCTGTGTACTTAGAACATCCAATTGTGTTGTTTTTCTATATAGAACGTGTGAATTTTGAGAGTGAAAACCTGAACAACCCCCCCCCCCCCCCCATCTGTGACTTTTGCCACCGCTGAAATAAAAAAAAATCTAGGGGAAAAACTGCAGTGACATGCCTCCTCCCTTCTTTATGAAGACCACTGTCACTTCTGTATCATGCTTAATGTATTGTGAACTCTGTATTCATAGCTGCTCTCTCTCTCTTCCTCTCCAGATGTTTCCTGAGTGAAACCTCATGTTTGATGGAATACCAATTTCCCATTTTATTATTGCTTAAAGCTCCCCATCTGATTCTCTGCCAACCATATTCTCCAGAGACTCAGGGGGTCTAGTTGGACTTGTAGCAGTGCCATATCTCCCCTGTGGGATAATGCTGCCATGTTAGCTTCTCTGTGGCAACTACATTCATTTCAGCGACTGGTATTTGTGTTGTGTCCCAAATGGCACCCAATTTACTACTTTTGACCAGCGCCCATAGAGCTACGGTCAAAATTAGTGCACTATATAGGAAATAGGGTGCCATTTTGGATGAAGCCTTGGAGTGCTTCCTGCTGTCAACACATATATGGACCTCTGCTACCTATTACTCTACCAGTGGCCTCCGTTGTTTTAATTGCTGTATTGATATTTATTAGGCCTTTTATAAAGTGACCTGCCATTCCCAACTCTGCTAACCTCGTCCCAGATCTGTTTGTGCTCTTGCCAACTACATTGCTGTCCTTGTCAAGCTAAGACAATGAGTGACAAGGAGTTGGCATTATAGCCCAAATAGTCTGGCACTCAGGCTACGACTCTGCCACCACACATTAGATTTATTTTGTTCCATAAACATGTTTTTTTGTTGCAAAAATGATGACAAATAACCTTTTTTATAAAATCAATATGTACATTTGGTGGGAGGGGTGGTCCACTATAAAAGAGCAGATCAATCAAGGTAGCTTCTGGACTGGACTCCAGGAGAGGGCATCCTGGCATTTATCAGTTATGATTACATTGTAATGGTAAATGGCCTATGTACATTATGTAGTTTTGCTTGACCTTTGTTACAGTTATCCTTTTTGTTCATAAAAAAAAAATTGACTTGGTTTGGGAAAAGTTCATGAATAATAGGTTTACATTAAAGGGTGTTCCGGTTTGACGTTGTCTTTTTCATAGGAAAAAATGCTAGAGTAGTTGACATCTCTGATCAATTTAGCTCCTCCAAGTGTGCTGGAGAAGGTTCCACTTCAGTGATTGCTTTTGATGGTGTTGATTTTTACATTTACATTTTACATTTTAGTCATTTAGCAGACGCTCTTATCCAGAGCGACTTACAGGAGCAATTAGGGTTAAGTGCCTTGCTCAAGGGCACATTTACGTCATTTAGCAGACGCTCTAGTCCAGAGCGACTCACAAATTGATGCATTCACCCTATAGCCAGTGGGATAACCACTTTACAAATTTTTTTTGGGGGGGGGGTTGAAGGATTACTTTATCCTATCCCAGGTATTCCTTAAAGAGGTGGGGTTTCAAATGTCTCCGGAAGGTGGTGAGCGACTCCGCTGTGTGTGTGGGGGGGGGGGGGGGGTAGAAGGATTACTTTATCCTATCCCAGGTATTCCTTAAAGAGGTGGGGTTTCAAATGTCTCCGGAAGGTGGTGAGCGACTCCGCTGTGTGTGGTGGGGGGTAGAAGGATTACTTTATCCTATCCCACATATTCCTTAAAGAGGTGGGGTTTCAAATGTCTCCGGGAGGTGGTGAGTGACTCCGCTGTGGGGGGGGGGTAGAAGGATTACTTTATCCTATCCCAGGTATTCCTTAGAGAGGTGGGGTTTCAAATGTCTCCGGAAGGTGGTGAGTGACTCCGCTGTGGGGTGGGGGGGGGTAGAAGGATTACTTTATCCTATCCCAGGTATTCCTTAAAGAGGTGGGGTTTCAAATGTCTCCGGAAGGTGGTGAGCGACTCCGCTGTGTGTGTGTGGGGGGGGGGGGGGTAGAAGGATTACTTTATCCTATCCCAGGTATTCCTTAAAGAGGTGGGGTTTCAAATGTCTCCGGGAGGTGGTGAGTGACTCTGCTGTGGGGGGGGGGGGGTAGAAGGATTACTTTATCCTATCCCAGGTATTCCTTAAAGAGGTGGGGTTTCAAATGTCTCCGGAAGGTGGTGAGCGACTCCGCTGTGTGTGAGGGGGGGGGGGGGTAGAAGGATTGCTTTATCCTATCCCAGGTATTCCTTAAAGAGGGGGGGTTTCAAATGTCTCCGGAAGGTGGTGAGTGACTCCGCTGTCCTGGCGTCGTGAGGGAGCTTGTTCCACCATTGGGGTGCCAGAGCAGCGAACATTTTGGACTGTGTATAATCCATCGCCTTCACCATTTGAGGAGGAGTATTTATTAGAATATGCACATGAAAATCTGTCAGCAATTGGATGGAAACCTAGCTACTGTGAAAAATGTAAATGTGTTTGGACAAGATAAAATATCTTCAATCTGCATAAAAACAATGTGCTCATTTTCCCACCAGATATGTGTGCATCAAATTGATTTGTTATGGATAAAAGGTTGTGCGTGATGACGTAGTGCACATACAAATACACTTTGCGGTTAAATTCCCATGTACCGAATAAAATATTATAGTTAAATGGGATTCCATCACATTTTCAACTCTACTGATGGTTTTCTCACAAAAAGTGTTGCGTTATGTAGATTGTGCTCACTGATATTGGCATGTGCGCTCTGGGCAACAGCTCGCAGATCCAGTACCGGTACATGTGATTATTATGGACAAAAGAGCGAGGTTATTATTTTTTTTTCAAACGGCAGCCAAGAATCGATGATCATGTCACCAGAATAAGGCACTCGATATTCATTGGAAAGGAGCATCAAACTCATCACCGTGCGCTTTCACCACCCTGTGAAATTCATAATTAATTTAATCTGTAGCCTAATAAACGGCATGCTTTCTCAACCAGTAAAAGTGGGAAAGGGGGACAATTGGATGCATTCAACTGAAACGTGTCTTCCGCATTTAACCCAACCCCTCTGAATCAGAGGTGCGGAGGGCTGCCTTAATCGACATCCACGTATTCGGAGGCCGGACCACGTGTCATCGTGTTTACTTTGATATGATGATTATTATATCAATATTTGCGCATAAAAGCGTTCCATCGACATTTCTCAAATTTTACCAACACAAAAAGATCCCACCTTGTTTAACATATTTCGTTTTTTCGACATTTGGAAAGTTTACTGACACATTTTCTGTTTCCATCAGGCCTGTCATGACAGTTTTTACCCAACATGTACTTTACTTGCAGAAAAGGGTTGGATGGAAACCTGGTTAGTGTAAGGAACATGAAGCCTATGACTTAATGTTCTCAAACATATAAAACACTGTGTTTTATCTGTCGAGTTAGTACTTACCGGTCAAATTCAAATATTCACTGCTCTCATAGCAATTGTGTGGTTACAGTATCAGGTGTATTATTGACCTTAGAAATATACATTTTCTTAATTCTTATTCTGCATTGGAACTCATATTTGACCTATTTGAGCCAATTCCTTTAAGAAAATGTATCACTAGGAATACAAAATAAATGAAAAAGTGAGCACTGCATAAATATATCAGTATTTGCATGTGCATATTTCATTTTGGTAGCACAGTCTGAGTGTGAGGACAGACGATCAGGACGTCTTGACGAGACGACTCCAGAGAGCGCCGAAGTAGAAATCGAAGGCACCCACTTTGGCATGACGTAGTCAGCAAATACACCACTTCGATTGGATGAAACGTGTGAGGTTGAGTTCGAAGATCACTCAAGCAGGAAATGAGTGAATGTCATCAGCTGCAAAAGCACGCATGAATGTAACATGGAATAATCTATTTTATGATCATTGAATGTGATTTATGAAAACACGGCATTGATGTCGACGTATGCACATGGCTTGTTATTTCAGAAGAAGTATTGCATCGAAGGTAATCGCATGTGTTCTGTATAGTTTGTGTTGCTAGCTAACGTTAGCTGTATGGGGTTTCCTGTAGTGCATAATGTTAGCAAATATTATCCGCATGTTACTGCCTGGCATTCTTTAGAACCAAGATGCCCTCGGTCTGTTTAAATATATAACTATCATCTCCATCGGCAATTAACATTGATATAAGAGTATTCTGAATATTTCAAGCTGGTGAATGTAGGTAATCATGACTTCAAAACATAGCAACAGTTTATGCTATGGGGTTCAATTGACACAACAACAATGTGTATTGCAGTTGTTTTCATGTTTGACCTCTCTTGGTTTAGCTCTCTAGGGCTTTGGGACGGTCTGAAGATGCCTTCATTTCTGCTCTCTGTGCTATCCCAGTCTCCAAAAAACAGTTAAGTGTGTGTGTTCAGTGGTGGAAAAAATCCTGAATTGTCATACTTGAGTAAAAGTAAAGATGCCTTAATAGAAAATTACTCAAGTGAAAGTCACCCAGTAAAATACTGCTTGAGTAAAAGTATTTGGTTTTAAAAATACTTAAGAATCAAAAGTAAATGTAATTGCTAAAATATACTTAAGTATCAAAAGTTAAAGTATAAATAATTTCACATTCCTTATATTAAGCAAACCAGACAGCACAATTTTCTTGTTTTATTATTTTACGAATAGCCAGGGGCACACTCCAATACTGAGACATAATTTACAAACGAAGCATTTGTGTTTAGTGAGTCTGCCAGATCAGAGGCAGTATGGATGACTAAGTGTGTGAATTGGAAAAATGATCTGTCCTGCTTAGTATTCAAGATGTAACTAGTACTTTTGGGTGTCAGGGAAAATGTATAGAGTAAAATGTACATTATTTTCTTTAGGAATGTAGTGGAGTAAAAGTTGTCAATGATATAAATAATAAAGTACAGATACCCCAAAAAACTACTTAAGTAGTATTTTAATGTAATTACTTTACACCTGTGTGTGTGTGTGTGAGAGAGAGAGATCTGCTGAAGGAAATCTCAGTCCTAGTCTGGTCCTTACAGATCACTCAATCAAACATGAGTATCACTACACAGTCACCATGTTTCTCAATGGTTCTTATGATATTGTTCGCCTCAGGCAATCCCCTGATTTCCGGTTGTCAGTCAACACTCTGCTGAGGAATGGGATCCTGCCAGCTAATGGAGACCTCCAGGCACAGACAGAGGCTCTGGCCAGACAGGTGGGGCCCCCTAGCGTTGAAGGGTGAAGTTGCAGTGTAGATGCTGATCTTAGGTCAGGTTAGCATTTCCCACCACTAATTGTTACGGTTTGGATTGGGGGAGGAGAAACAGATCCTAGATCTGTACCTAGGGGAAACTTCACCCTGAAACGTTTAGTGGTCAGTCACATACTCACACTTCACTGATATTTTGATTTCACACTCCTGTCAGAATTACAGTGCATGTTATTTCCTTTCAGTTAAAGCAAGACAGTGTGGTGGAAGAAATATTTGCTGGACGGGGAGTGATACACTTTAGAGTTAGTCGGACTCTGTTAGTACAGGTGAATATGCCTTTTACCCAACTTTTTTCATTTTGATATTGTCAGTTGGAAAGCTGCAGACTGGTTGAAATATTTGTATCAACCAGCGTGTAGGAATAAAATGTATATAATTGAACAAGACAACCATCTGGAAGTCTACACATTTGTTTTTGTTTTGTTGTTTCAGAAAGTTTTAGAGCAGTTGTGCCAAGAACGTCACAAATTTGGTGTGAAAAGTGAACTTTTCGATGGCCTCAAAAAAGGAACAACTGTGGTGGAGTTTAGGTATTGAAATATGTTCTCCTCAACCGTCCATTCGTTGGGATTGTTTCAGAGTAGGTGGTTGAGGCAAAGTGTTAAGAGGCAACCACTAAAGAAAAAGCTACCTTCTTTTATGAATTTATTGACAACATTTCCCTTTTGTTTTTCTTACAGTTCTCCAAATATTGCCAAGAAGTTTCATGCTGGACATCTGCGTTCCACCATTATTGGTGAGAATCAGTTGAAGTTCTTTAACGTACCAGGAGAGGGTAGAGTTTATTGTCATATTGTTCCTGACCTCAGGCTAAATTCAGGATGTGTTTGAAATATTTTATCTATTGTGACTGAAATGCACAATGTTCTTTTTAGGTAACTTCATTGCCAACCTGAAAGAATCCTTGGGAAATAATGTATTGAGAGTGAATTACCTGGGAGATTGGGGCATGCAGTTTGGTGAGTTAAGCAGAGAAGAATAACATAAAGGAATACACTGAGAAGCATTAAAGGTAGACTCAGTGAAATGATGTTGCCACAAGCATCAAAGCAGATATTTCCATGCATGTGATGCAAGACTTCACTCCCACAAAGTCACACACAGTGAGTGCACGCATGTCACTGTCTTTATTATTGGATCAGTACCACTGAAAAGTTTTTTTGGGGACAATAATGTCCTCCAGGCTAGATAGATGTCATATTGTACAATTTGTGTCTCCCGTTTTCGTAGACCTATATTAGATGGTTGCATTCAAGACAAGGACGTTCTTACTGATCTGTTTGTCAGTGTCAGCAGAGTGGGCTACTAATTTGTGTCGTATTAAAAAAGATGTTGCTTGTGTCTCCAGTCATATAAAGTGTAGTAAAATTGCATGAAATGTGTTTATAAAATGCCAAATTCTTCTCATGCAAAGAAAGGAGAAGAAATGCCTCTGATTAGGCCTACTCTGTCACTAGGTGCTCAGGCATACATTGTTCAGAACTGTCTGTTTTGCTACCAGTGATTGAGTTATATTATTAGCCTAAATTATGACTATGCAATCTACACATCACATTAGGAGTAGTAACCTATCTTACATTATTTTGCAAATGGGAAGATGGATGCATGCAATCCTTTATTGTAAAGGATTTTATGGTGAAAAAACTGCTTCTCCAAACTTGAAACTCACGCACTGCCTGGATATCGCCATTTGAAGTCGACCTTGATGTGACTTGATAGCGTGTATTATGCATCTATTTCACATTGCAATATATGTGCCATTCCACAAGTAAATGAGTCAATTTATGAGGAGGTTGAGTAGTGGTTGACATTGTATATGCCGTTCCACAGACCTTTAAACCTAATATTGCGGTGATAATTAATGGCTGGGGTCATTTCTGTTTGTTTTTGTTTTTCCAAATAGCATTTTAGAGTATAAATTGTGTAGAAATGCAGTAAGCGAGCTTCAACTTTGGGCACCTACGTCATATCACAAAGTCTACCTTTAAGCAAAAATAAATCTAGATATTTGATTACTGGTACCACAACTTTTTGAAAATAAGAATGATAGTTTTCGCTGAAAGGTATAGTAAACCATTGCCTTTGGAAATGGGACCAGGTTTCCATAACCTCTTCTTTGCCTGTGGATTTTAGGTCTGCTGGGAGCTGGCTTTCAGCGCTTTGGGTGTCAGGAGAAATTGAAAAAGAATCCCTTACAACATCTATTTGATGTAAGTTTTGAGAATCATAGTAGTTCTGAGAGAAAAGTTGAACCACTGCCCTCTTGTATTATGTTTTTTATGCAGTCATGTCAGTAGGTGTGAACACGTCTTTGGCGGCCTACCCTTACATGTTTGTGTGTATACATGTCCTGTAGGTTTACGTTCAGGTGAACAAGGAGGCGGAGAACAATGAGGTCATAGGACAGGCGGCCAGAGAGTTCTTTAGACAGCTGGAACAGCAGGAACACCAGGCCCTGTTACTATGGAAACAGTTTAGAGAGATCACAGTGGAGGAGTACCAACAAGTCTACAAGGTATTGACCCGGCCTGCACACCTCTGACCAACTAGCCACTAGCCAAAAAGCTGTTGTAGGACTATACTGTTTTAATTTAATAAAACAGTTTGGGCAAAAGGTATTTACACTACTCAAGCAAACACTGTTCGTATTGAATTCCATGCACTGCCTAACAAACTCAGACAGGGTTGTCATTCCAGGAAAGTGCACAAGACTTTAGGGCCTTTGTAACACAGTTTTGTTATCAGATGTCAATATTAGTACAATGTGTTTCTGTTCCTCAGCGTTTAGGGGTTCACTTTGACATCTACTCTGGAGAGTCATTTCACCAACAACAAGCCCAGGAGGTGGTACAGCGGCTACAGAGACTAGGCCTACTAAAAACCACAGAGTATGTCACGGAAGCAAACAACCTTATGAGTAATGAAAGAGCATTGTGTAAATGTCATACACTAAGCAAACTGTCATCACAGACCTTTAAAGTAAACATTCCCACCCAACATCTAGTACTACTGTGTGTTTAGTTAAACAGAGAAATTATCTATGGATTATTTATAGGGAAGTATGTAGAAATAAAACAAATGTGAATTGTTCATAGGTAAGTGATTGTATATGTAGAAGAAGCGTGTCCAATTAACAAACAAAAGTGATTGTATATAACTGTTAACAGGAAGGGGACCAGCGTGGTGGATCTCTCTTCAGCTGGAGACATGTCCAGCTACTCCACAGTACTACGCAGTGATGGGACATCTCTCTATATCACCAGGTCTGTGCTGCTTTAGAAGGTTGACAGTGATGTTATGACTGGTGTGCAAAACCTTAGTAATTATCAAGTGACACGAATCTTGTTTATCATTTTTGTCATATTGTGTGTTTCCAGAGATCTTGCTGCAGCCATAGATCGAAAGGAAAGGTACAATTTCGATGAGATGATCTATGTGGTAAGTATTCTGCCAAACTGCTCTAACCCTCAGCAATGGCTACAAAAAGTAGTGTTATATGAACTTTTATCTAAACTTATTAACATTTGTTTCTTTGTGAAGACAGACAAAAGTCAAGGGATTCATTTCCAGCAGCTGTTCCAGATCCTCTTGGCTATGGGACACTCGTGGGCTGAAAGGTAAACACTGTGTACACAGCTGTCACAATACAAACAATCGATTGTTTCTACAGAGATAAAGTATGGGACTATCTGGTTTGAGGGTTTGGTTTTCACCCTCACTGTTATGCTGCAGGCACAGAGATGCATGCAGTTGTTGTATATGTTTTATCTGTTATGTTTATGTATATGTAGGTATTGTTTTATCTGTTTGGCTGCAGGTGCCAGCATGTGCCGTTTGGCCTGGTGCAGGGTATGAAGACGAGGCTGGGAGAGGTGGTTTTCCTGGAAGACATTCTGGATGAAGCCCGGGCTAGGATGCTCAGGAACATGAGCCAGTCTAAGAGTAAGGACATGGCATGGGATTCATTATAGCGATTTTGTGTGCGTCCCAAATGAAACCCAAAGTAATAGGAATTTGCAGGTGAACAAAAGAGAAGAGCAGTCCCAGATAAAGTCAATCAAAAATCAATCTGGTTAATTACAAGTTGCAACAGGGAGACACCACCCAGCACAGAAGCAGAGAAAATGTCTAACTGGCCTTCTCGGAGAAGGCCATTCTACCATAATCAGCAGACAACTGTTCTGTAAACACCAGCCCAATAGGCTTGTAGGAAGTCAAAACAAAAGGCAGTGACTTTGTCAGCTGCTAAAGAATCACACAATGTTTCACAGAATACAATAATAATCAGTGTCATTGTACCTCCAGTCTGGCGTCAATCACTATCAACAGATATGAGTTGAATCCATAACATACTGCATCGAGTCTAGTGACCATCAACCCGAGTGTCACAAACAGAACACTGGAAATCGTGTGTATTACAGAAAGGGAAAATATGAATATGCTAAACTATGTTAATCACTCTAAACTGAATATTAACTTAATTACATTTACATTACATTTACGTCATTTAGCAGACGCTCTTATCCAGAGCGACTTATAAATTCATCTTAAATATTCTCATTACACCCTATTTCCTATATAGTGCAGTACTTTTGACCAGGGAACATAGGGCTCTTGTCAAAAGTAGTGCCCTATGCAGGGAATAGGGTGCCATTCAGGAGTCAGCCTAGGTGTATAGTTATTAGTCATTAATAATCTGTCAATTAACGTTCTTTAAATCTCCTCAGCCACCAAGGAAATGGTGTATCCAGAAGACACCGCTGAGAAAGTGGGGATCAGCGCGCTCATAGTTCAGGTGAACCAGTTATACCAACCTTAAAGAATATGACATACGAAGGACAAACAAAACAAAGGGTAAGAACACTGTGGGTGTGTACGTGTAGCGACAGGTGTCTCTTTGGAAATAGGTTATTGAAGCATAAAAATAATGGAAGATTGCTCTAGGTTATGCTCAGGCATGATCCTGTTTTCTGTCTTTCCTGTCTCAGGACTTTAAAGGGCCTCTAGGATCAGACTACAAGTTTGACTGGGACAGGATCCTCCAGGCCCAGGGTGATACCGGGGTGTTCCTACAGTACACACACGCCAGGCTCTGTAGGTGAGCGATGAGGAACCATTCACCAGTTCACAACCTGCAGGACCTTCAAGAATATAGAATGCTATTACAATTTTTTCGTTTTGTTATTTATTTAACTAGGCAAGTCAGTTAAGAACAAATTCTTATTTACAATGACGGCGTACTTGTAAAGCCCCCCCGGCCAAACCCTCCCCTAACCCGGACGATGCTGAGCCAATTGTGCGCCACCCTATGGGACTCCCTATCACGGCCGGTTGTGATACAGCCCGGGATCGAATCCGGGTCTGTAGTGACACCTCTAGCACTGTAATGCACTCGGGAAACAATACATGAACTGACTCGTGATTAAGAACTCATTAATGTCTGACTTCTCAACAACTGTTGTCATTTCAGTTTAATACATAGGCATGGCGACGGAGAGGAAGGTGCCTTTGACCCGTCACTTCTTATAGATCAGAGGAGTATTTCTATACTCCAGCACTTGCTTCGGTAAGCGAATGCCCTCTAACCCCACACATAGAGGAGAATGGTCAGGGTTACTCTTCACTGATTGCATGATGGGCCGGGATGGTTCCGACCAGGAAACAAATTCAATAACCTGTTCTCGTTCCTGTTGCATTTCAATATGTCATAGAGGAATGAAAATATGTGGGTGTGGTATTGGGTGGGGTACTCAGATGAACAGATACGTGTTGGTAAAATAAATGCAGTCACACCAGAACATGCTGTTTTCACATCATTCACAATGTGACGTGTGCCGTCTATTTTCAGCTATGACGAAGTTCTATACCAATCTGCACAGGATCTGCAGCCAAAACATCTCGTCAACTTCCTTATGACACTGAGGTAAGGAGCAGGATGTTCATGTGTGAAATCCAGGCACAATGGACATGATTATATTACCTAACCATAAAATGTATTTGATCTCCTTCCTGGCTAGTCACCTGGTTGCATCAGCACACAGGGAGCTGCCAGTGAAGGGAAGCCCTCAAGCTGTCGCACAGGTAGATAAGCACTGATAATTTGCTCAAATATCTTATTCAATATAGTGTCATTTCAGTCAACGGATGCATTAAGGGCCTGGTGTACTCAGATTAAATGCTATCCAATGAATGGCCTTCCTTGGAAAATGTATTTTATACGGGCATAGCCATATATTTTACAAATCTACCTTTGACCATTTGCTAATAGGTTTTAGTACTATCCTTTGATAAGGAACATGTTCATGATGTAAACTGTTGAGATATGATTCAGATAATTTGTTAATCCTCCTCGACAGGCAAGGCTGCGGCTCTTCAGTGGTGTCTGCACTGTGTTGGCCAACGGGATGAAAATATTAGGCATCACACCAGTCGAGAAAATGTGAACAATCAACGCCTGCTTGATCAATGTTCCTGTGTATGTAGTTATTGTATTAATGTAAATAAATGTAGTCTTGATTTAACACTTCCACATGATAAATGACTGGTTTCTGGTTGCATCAAATCCAATGTCTTTGCTTTGACAGGATAGGGAACTGCCCAAATATCTCCAGGTGATTATATACAATGCCATTGGAAAATATTCAGACCCCTTGACTTTTTCCACATTTTGTTACATTACAGCCTTATTCTAAAATTGATTTATTTTTTCGCCCTCAATCTACACACAATACCCCTTAATGACAAAGTAAAAACAGGTTTTGACATTTTTGCTAATTTATTAAATGGAAATATCACATTTACATAAGTATTCAGACCCTTTACTCAGTACTTTGTTGAAGCACCTTTGGCAGCGATTACAGCATTGAGTCTTGGGTATGACGCTACAAGCTTGGCACACAAGCTTGTAAACTCTCCTTCCAGACTCACATTAAGCATTTCCAATCAAAAGTTAGATCTAGAATCGGCTTCCTATTTCGCAACAAAACCTCCTTCACTTATGCTGCCAAACATGCCCTCGTAAAACTGACTATCCTACCGATCCTTGACTTCGGCGATGTCATTTACAAAATAGCCTCCAACACTCTACTCAGCAAATTGGATGTAGTCTATCACAGTGCCATCCATTTTGTCACCAAAGCCCCATATACTACCCACCATTGTGACCTGTACGCTCTTGTTGGCTGGCCCTCACTACATATTCGTCGCCAAACCCACTGGCTCCAGGTCATCTATAAATCACTGCTAGGCAAATCCCCGTCTTATCTTAGCTCACTGGTCACCATAGCAACACCCACCCGTAGTCTGCGCTCCAGTAGGTATATCTCACTGGTCATCCCCAAAGCCAACACCTCCTTTGGCCGCAATTTTTTCCAGTTCTCTGCTGCCAATAACTGGAACGAACTGCAAAAGTCTCTGAAGCTGGAGACTCTTATTTCCCTCACTAACCTTAAGCGTCAGTTGTCAGAGCAGCTTACCGATCACTGCACCTGTACACAGCCATTCTGAAATTAGCCCACCCAACTACCTCATCCCCATATTGTTATTTATTTTGCTAATTTGCACCCCAGTATCTCTATTTGCACATCATCTTTTGCACATCTATCATTCCAGTGTAAATTACGAAATTGTAACTATTTTTGCACTATGGCCTATTGATTTATTGCCTTACCTCTATAACTTACTACATTCGCACACACTGTATATATATTTTCTGTTGTATTTTTGACTGTTTTGTTTACCCCATATGTAATTCTGTGTTTTTAATCGCACTGCTTTGCTTTATCTTGGCCAGGTCGCAGTTGTAAATGAGAACTTGTTCTCAACTGGCTTACCTGGTTAAATAAAGGTGAAATAAAAATAAATAAAACACCTGTATTAGGGGAGTTTCTTCCATTCTCTGCAGATCCTCTCAAGCTCTGTCAGGTTGGATGGGGAGCATTGCTGCACAGCTAATTTCAGGTCTCTCCAGAGATGTTAGATCAGGTTCAAGTCCAGGCTCTGGCTGAGCCACTCAAGGACATTCAGAGACTTGTCCCGAAGCCACTCCTGCACTGTCTTGGCTGTGTGCATAGGGTTGTTGTCATGTTGGAAGGTGAACCTTCGCCCCCAGTCTGAGGTCCTGAGCGCTCTGGAGCAGGTTTTCATCAAGGATCTCTGTACTTTGCCTCAATCCTGACTAGTCTCCCAGTTCCTGCCGCTGAAAAACATCCCCACAGCATGATGCTGCCACCACGCTTCACCATAGGGATGGTGCCAGGTTTCCTCCAGACGTGTCGCTTGGCAATCAGACCAAAGAGCTAAATATTGGTTTCTCATGGTCTGAGAGTCGTGAGGTGCCTTTTGGCAAACTCCAAGTGGGCTGTCATGTGCCTTTTACTGAGGAGTGGCTTCCGTCTGCCCACTCTACCATAAAGGCCTGATTGGTGGAGTGCTGCAGAGATGGTTGTCCTTCTGGAAGGTTCTCCCATCTCCACAGAGGAACTCTAGAGCTCTGTCAGAGTGACCATTGGGTTCTTGGTCACCTCTGACCTAGGCCCTTCTCCCCCGATTGCTCAGTTTGGCCGGGCGGCCAGCTCTAGGAAGAGTCTTAGTGGGTCCAAGACCTTCAATGCTGCAGACATTTTTCTGATACCCTTCCCCAGATCTGTGCCTCGACACAATCCTGTCTCGGAGCTCTACGGACAATTCCTTCGACCTCATGGCTTGGTTTTTGCTCTAACATGCACTGTCAACTGTGGGACCTTATATAGACAGGTGTGTGCCTTTCCTAATCATGTCCAATCAATTGAATTTACCACAGGTGGACTCCAATCAAGTTGTAGAAACATATCAAGAATGTTCAATGGAAACAGGATGCACCAGAGCTCAATTTTGAGTCTCATAGCAAAGGGTCTGAATACTTAAGTAAATAAGGTAAGTTTTTTTTTTTATATACATTTACAAACATTTCTAAAAACCTGTTTTCACTTTGTCATTATGGGGTATTGTGTGTAGATTGAGGAAAATAATTTATTTAATCAATTTTAGAATAAGGCTGTAACGTAACAAAATGTGGAAAAAGGAAAGGGGTCTGAATACTTTCCAAATGGACTGTAAATGTCCAGGCTCTCCCAGGTGAGATTCTGTCAGCTGTGTATATACATTCAGTACTTTGTCAATTGTGGAGTACTTGACATTGACAGTGGTTCATGAAAACTATTGTCCAAGACTAACAGCAGTCACACAGTAAACAAAAAAATAAGGAATAAAAACCCAATGGTATTTATTTTCTATGCATACATTCTGCCTCAGCGCCACACTCCCCACAGAATATTGAAGCATAAGTGTATTTGAAATACCTTCCCTTAATGCTCCAGCATCACTGATATAATGATTCATCTATATTATTTAAGTTCCTTGCCGACACTCTTATTATGGGACACAACAGTAGACTTCAGTGTGAAAGAGGGCCTATGGGCAGCTCCAACACAGAGGTCAGGAAAGACCATAAACATTTTTGTTCTTCCAGACTTCAAACTGTGATCAGTTTCTGCCTGGACTCAGTGTCTGCTCTTGGAAGCTTGGTGGTGTCTTGTTTCGGAAGTCCATAAAGGTATATGGAGACACACACCAGCATTGCTCCACAGGCAAAGGTAGCAGCTGCATGAAAAGTGAACATGGTTACTGAAAACCTGCCATGGACTATTGATAAATTCACTCAAAAATATGTTCAAATCAGTGTTTCCCCTATATTCATTTAGCAGCGGTTGCCCACAGGTGCTAAATTGTTGCGATCGCTGCTAAAAATGATGTAATTTAGTAATATATAAATATCTGCCGAGACGCACTTTAAATGGATAGTAGTTGGCTTAATGACTGGAAGTCTATGGGAACAGGTAGCATGTCATTGCGCTAGTAGCAATGTACCCACCCGTTGCCACAACAGCTGAAAATAAATCTTAAGGGAAACACTGCTAAGCTATATTAGTACTCGCGTGTCAGAGACCACACAAAGCCTAGTGGCTGAACAGTAATTTATGATAGTCCATGCCCACAAAGATGTGAATGATTTGACTCACTTATCTGTAGCCCAAACAGAGTGACGGATGCCACAGTAGAGAGAACGATGGCGGCTGCAGCAGAGAAGCCTTTCATGATATTGTCTGTGTACTTCACCACCACTGATGTGTACAGACCACCCACACTGGCCAGAACTGGAAGAAGAAAATACCAAATGTAAATTCAATGTACAACACAAATTTACATTAGGAAAAGTTTAAAACAATGTACATTTCTCCAGGCATTGTAGAAAAGCAAGAAACTCAGGAATATGTTCATGTATCAATATTGAAATTTGACTCACAGACTACAACGCTCACCCAAGGCGTGTAACCGTAGAAGAAGCCTTTCTCTATGACCTGAGCACCCTCCGTCATGTAAACACCAGCGAGGGTGACCACGATGCCAGACAGGTACATCTGGATGTTCCTCACCCATAAGGATGTGTCTGAGCTCTTTAGGACCTTCTCAAAGTACACACCTGTTCAAACACAAAGGGACACCATTAGATAAAAACCTGCCATTATCATCATCAATTATGTTATAGAATATTAAAAGGTATAAAGAGATAGCAAGATTACCTGCAAACCCAGAGCACAACACAGCGACAGCAATGGCCATAAACCCCAAAAAAGGGTTCTGCTCCACCTAAAAAGATTAGAACATGTCGAATACTCCTTACATACCAAGACATTTAGCCCCCAACTTTACCATGCCGGCAACCTTTTGCCGCCTTTTCTTTATATCTGAAAGGTATTGCCAGTAACAAAGGAAAGCCAGTGCTTTTAATTCCACCAACCGACCTAGTCATGATTGCAGTAAAGTTCCATCTACGGCTTAGTATGAAACGTAGCCGTAATGCCAAAGCAGCATTGGCACGAACGACCATAGAATTAAGAATTATAATACTAGAATGGACATGAACCTTCTTATGATGGGATAAAGGTCAGTCATTTTGGTCAGGGAGTTGGTCAACCATGGTTTGCCAGTGCTGTGATAAGATAGTGTAAAATAATGAATTTGAAGAATTTCTGCACAGTATGTTTGTTAACTAGCTAGCCAGCCAGTTTTAGAGGAACTGGCAAATTAACTACAAATATGCCAATAGTCCATTCAAACAACACAGTCAATTCACAGGCTGAAATCAGTTGATGATAGGACTTGGAAATGCAACAAGTACTGATATTGTATCATAATAACACTCACAGCTTTCCAATAAAACAAATAGAGACATTTATTTGCTAGGCAGCACCCATTACTAGGCTGTAACCTTGGCTGTTACATTTGTCATTTAGCAGCCCCCTGTGGGAAACAAATCCACAACCTTGGCGTTGCAAACGCCATGCTCTACCAACTGAGCTACATCCCTGCCGGCCATTCCCTCACCTACCCTGGACGACGCTGGGCCAATTGTGCGCCGCCGTATGGGTCTCTCGGTCGCGGCCGGCTACGACAGAGCCTGGATTCGAACCAGGATCTCTAGTGGCACAGCTAGCACTGGGATGCAGTGCCTTAGACCACTGCGCCACTCGGGAGTTTCACATAGTGCATGCTTAGTGGTGGGCTGTTTTCTTAACCACAACTGGATGAATCCATAAAGATTTACTGTGGGGTTGAATATGAAAATACTGAAATAAAGTAGGCTAATGCAAAAAGTCATGTATCAAATTGTTGCTTACTGAAACTCCCAGTCATCCAATTGTTATCATACATTTGAAGCAATAGCCTACTCACGTCTGGTCAACTAGATCAGTGCTTCCCAAACTGTGGGGCATGCGAGGTGTCGGCTTTAAACATACTCTTGAAAGTTGTAATAATAGAATGCACAAGGTGCAATTTTGAAATGGGCAGTGCATCATCATGTTAGTCATTGCATGCCTTAGAGAGCTATTTATAACTTGTCATAAATGTCCGGATCAACTAGCCTATGTCAGTTGACGTTTTTTTATTTAGGTTTTTCAGTCCATAGATATTGTTGTACATTTTTTGTCACTCCAATATCACATGAATACACATTAGACAATGTATAGAATTGTAATTTAAAAAATAGTTTTAAAACTGCAAAATTCTCTTTGCACCCCATGACAAAATGTGTAGAATTGCAGGAAATAAGCTTTAAACCTGCAAAATTCTCTTCCCGAGTGAAAAAGTTTGGAACCACTGAACTACATCATTTCAGCACTGTTTTGATTGGGACAGTGCCATCGCACTGCTTTGAGAAGTGTGGGGACCAATGACTTATACAAACCGCTATGTCTTTGCTAATAAGAGCCTTTGAAGCCACCGGGCCGCAATTATCATACTCTTCCTATCGGGGCTTTGATTAATGGAAGTGAATCAGGGAAAAAACAATATCCCCAAATTAAATGAGCCAACTTGTCAACAATGCCACGAGGTTGTCACAAATAGATGCAGCCAGCACCAATTCAAGGGATGTGGAAAGACATTTCATATGTAAGTATAACAATTGTTAGTGTAGAACATTTTCTTTTTGGTCTATTTTGGAGAGAGACTGCTCCTGACAGCTTTTGTAACTATAGAAACGCATGTAAGCAAACGTCCATGAATGCTTGCTAGTTTACAAAACGATAACCCATTGTTGATGTTATTAAGCATGGAAGGAGTGGTGATACATGCGTAGAATTTTAACTGCTGTTCTTATGGATTTTCTAATAGTCCTTTCACAAATATTGTGCATTGACAATGAATGTAGTTAACGTTAGCAGCTGGCCTAGTATTACATGATGTATACAAAAAGGCCACCAGTGAACCCGGTGTTTTTTACAGTCTGAGTGAACCAGTTCTTAGGTTTATTGTCCTCGACTATTGCAATTTCTTTTTACTGGCTTCACATTGATCTTAAATTGGTCAGCAATATTGAAAACATTATGGGATAATGCATTAACTTCTCCAGCTTTGCATTATAGTAATCAACATTGTGTAAGGGATAATCAACAACAAGCGGCTATGCATTCTATGGAAAATAATGAACGATGTGGAAGGTGTGTTCCACGACACCTTTTCAGAGAATGCATAGAGCCACGAGTTGATTATCCCTTTTATACCATGGCTATAAATGTGTTCATTTGCCTCTAGAAATGTGTTCAACATCCACTGAAGTAGCTAGCAAGTTTACTAGATAGCGACAGTAGTTGCCTTGGTAACCAAACAAAACAGACTTGCTAGTGCAGATAACAAACCCTTAAGAGACGCCATGGAAACATATTTAACAGGGATGAAAAGAAAGGCGGAGAGAGACGGAGATAATGAGACAAACGTAAGTCTCCCGAAAGCTAAGACGAGGAAATATGACGAAGCGTATGTCGCGCTTGGCTTCACTGTGACTACGGTGGGAGAAGAGGAAAGACCGGTATGTTTACTGTGTCTAAAAATGTTGGCAGCGGACAGCATGAAGCCAAATAAATTAAGGCGTCACTTAAATACATTACACCCCAATCACGCTGATAAGCCGCTTGAGTTTTTTCAGCGAAAACGTGCCGAATATTGCCAACAATCTTCCCGCTTTGTGAATGCTACTTCAGTAAACCAGCGAGCACTGTTAGCATCATATAAGGTGGCGTACCAAATTGCTCAGTGCCAAAAAAAAAACAATCCATAGCAGAGGAGCTGATACTGCCTTCAGCATTAGACAAGGTCTCTGTCATGCTGGATGACGCAAGTGCTGCAAAAATAAAAACTATCCCTCTGTCCAATGACACTGTCGCCAGACGTATAAATGACATTGCTAACGATCTTAAAGAACAGCTGGTAGATAAACTCAAAGACAAACGTGCCTTTTGCCATTAATGCTGACTTCCTCATTTTGCTAAAAAAAAAAATCAGCATAAATGGTTTTATTCATTTTTGTTTTATAGGTCAGTGTTTCATATATTGGGCTCCTGAGTTCATGTTGCTGATCAATTTGAATTTATTATTATTTATTGATTATATTTTATTTTTCAGTATCAAATGGTCAAAAATTTTTTACAGTTTAAATAAGGCAAATTTCAGGCAAATTGATGCACTTTAAGTCTTTTCTGTTACAGACTAAAAAACAATGTTAATAAAGTTATTCTTTGTTGTAAGTTGATCTATATTTCTTTATTTTATTTTCTTTAATGTTAATAAGGATACAATGTTATGCAGAGGTGTACTTAGAACAATTTCATAGACAAATGATACTATTTCCAGTTGCGGCGGAGAGTTGGGGGGCGCAAAATGTTTACTTCTTCCTAGACCTATCAGCGCAACAGAAAATAATTGAGAAGCACTGAGCTAACCAAACCCTCAGTCCTAGAGTGCTATTATGAAAATCAAATTCAACAATGCCAATAATGTTTTCAATTTGACTTTTGCTTTCAAAAGCAACTCAAACATAGAACATGTCATTGAATTCTGCCATGCAAATATACTGTGCATTATAGGGAAATAATACATGCTCTAGAATGCCCTTCAAGACAATCAGAAACGATTATTCAACAACACCATGGTATAATGCTTTTTAGTGTAGAGAGCTACAGGTTTTGGAAGATATACTTATTTTTTCTCTTTCATTACAGACACTAATACATACTATTATGTATTGTAAAAAAAAAAAAAAGTATGAACTGAACAGAAGCCAATCATTTTTATTTTTTAAATATACAAATATTTTGGATTTTAAAAATAGTTCTTATGTAGCAGTCCCCACTACAACAACAAAAAATACTTAAAGCATGTATTTTTGTCCTTGAAACATTACATTGAAATACTGTAAATTTCCATTAATTCCTATGAGGCTGTTCCTTATGAGGAGTATCATAATGGCGAACGGTGACTTCAGAAGAGCCCCCCCTTACAGTCATCTAGTGCAGGGTTTCCCAAACTCAGTCCTGGGCCGCCCCAGTTTATTTTAGTAAATACTTTAACTCTTATTTTTCTTAAAACTGCATTGTTGGTTAAGGGCTTGTAAGGTCTACACCTGTCGGAGCATGTGACAAATAAAATGTGATACGGGGAATGTGTCTTGTCTGTTTAATGAACAAAATATTTATTTCATTTGCATGGGGCAGCCATGTAGCCTATAGGCTGCAGAAACCAGTAACATAATTCAACTGAAAATATACTATTCTATTCATGCCATTGGATGTATTTAAAAGGTTTATGCTGGCAAGAATGTGGTAAAAATGTGCCTTTTTTTTTTTTTTTTTTTTTTACAGGCAACATACCATAAATCCTATGTGAAAAGTGTATAAGATCCATATCAAATAGACATGGCAGAGAATTCCAAACGTCAAACTTTGATCGTAAACAAGCCATTAGAACATCAGCAACAAACCAGTATACCCATTGGCCATGTCTCCCTTATAAAATAGGTATTCTGACCTCAATGGGACTTCCTGGATAAATAAAGGTTAAATAAAAAGCCAAACAGAAACACTAAGGGTACCTGGACTTTAGTGGCCTCTGCCGGTTTCCACTGGACCAGTGCGACGCCCCCACACAGCATAAAGACTGAGAACCACTGCAGCCTGCTGAGAGAGCGGTTCAGCATGAGGACCATGCACAGGGCTGTGCACGGGATCTTCAACTGATAGGTCACCTAGGTAGGGATATACAGTGAGAATATGAGCCAGAAAGGAAATATAGACATATCAATTCTTAATGTGGTGTTTTCTGCAGAAATCGTGACATTTCTAGTTTATACCTGATACACAGCTGCATCAAGATTGCTCAAGGCAACGAAGGCCATGTTATTCTGAACTGCATAGACCACAGAGGGAACACACAGTTTCAGCAGCTCTTTTGGACTCCAAAATACATGTTCAACTATGGATGCTTTTAACCTGCCAAAGCTGCCAGTTTCTCTGCAAGGTGAAAATGAAGACAAAAATGTGTAAAATCTGAGCTACTGGGGCATTCATTCAACAAAATACTAAACACAAGGGTGTTCTACAGTTTTTCTTCAAGGCAGAGACCACATGTAAAGAGCAAGTGATAGCTATCCAAGTGCATTTGGAACATTATTTGGATGGTCATGAAAACAGTAGTACATTGGATATACTTACTTGGTCAACATCCCAAGGCTCAATAACAATTTAATAACCTCTGTGATGCATACTGCTGTTGTAGAGAAGTACATAGCTGTTGATGATATTGTCCTTGTGTATCGTAATACCACGGTGTAAGTTGCTGCCACCAGTGTCATCACTGACAGACAGTACATCTTGAACATCACACTCACTGGCTCTGTTGAGAGAGGACAATTAATATTGACAGCATGAAGTGTGACGTTGACAGCAAGTAAGGCAAGGAACTGAAAATCACAGTGTGGACGGCCACCTATTGACGAGATTCTCATTCGTTACAAGAACACGCTATATAGCCGGGGCCGCTAAGTTAAGACAGTTGTATCTGGACTCAGCAGCTGGCTAACAAGCTAACTAACTAACTACGTAGCATTGCGCTTCAGTTCAGAGAAGCTGTCTTTTTTTCGCTAGATAGCTAAATACCAAAGACAATTTGTTTAACTTTAGTGCGTTGCGCTATCTTGCTGCGTTAAATAGTTCCGAAACAGAAATTAGTAAATAACATTGCAAATAAGCATAGCTAGCAGATTTCACTTACCGTTAGTCATGGTTAACTTGATTGTTATGATCCGTTGTTAGACAAATGCTTGGGTATTTAACGTGATCACCTAGCGAGGTGTCTAGCGACAAGTCTGACTGAACTTTCCAAGTATGATTATCAGGTATGAAATCCTAAATAAGGTAGTCGTCTTCTTCTTCTTCTTTGGTATCATGGCGTTCGCACATTTTTTTGTGCATGCCGCCACCTACTGTGCGGGAGAGTGCTCACGTTACATTTTGTGATACAAAAATAAAAAGGGAAGGGGATAGGAAAAAATTGCACCACTACACCTATTTCCCACTATTTCATAAAGACGGGGCTCTTTCGTTCAACATATCTTGTAACTCTTCTGAAGTAAAACCTTGTACACCCAAGTATTTATCTGCAGCTGCCACCACATCTGTTTTCTGTTATTTACGTTCCATTTCTGCGTTACAGTTGATAATCATGGCAATGAATGCTAAGAAGCCAACCTTACTGAAGCACAAATTCGTATCACTCTGTATTGGCCTAGGCCTACTACTCACCCTTGACCCTTGACCCATCATCCTCTACTCTCCACTGCCTCAGCATATATGACACCTTCTGTTCTTCTCTGACCCTGGCAATCTCAACCTGTCTCTCTCGCACAGGGCACTTCTGATCCTCAGCAACATGGGCACCCCCGGAATTAACACAATTTTTTACACCTATACTACACATTCCTTTGTTCCATGCCCTCCTGCAGACTTCTCACATCTCGGAATCTCCCTCCTACACACTGCTGCAACATGACCATAAGCTTGGCACCTAAAACAGCTTTGTGGGTTCAGCACAAAAGCTCTAATGGGATCACTGACATATCCTAACATGACTTTGTCAGGTAAAGACTGCTTCAGAACTCAAACGGACCGACAGTGGCTTCTCAGTTTCACTACGCGCACCACCGGGTCTGCGTAGCACCAAACGGCGGGCGTCACAGACACAGGGAATCTTCCATTTCAGTTGCTCCACTTCAACACTTAACACCACCCCAATAATCACTCTTTTCCAGGGCACCCTGCTCCGGAGAGCAAAGCAAGTCAGATATCTTGCCCCGAGGCATGTGACACGAAGTGCCCGCTCTCTCAGGGGGGAAGAAACACAGAAAATCGTCACACTTCGAGCTACCTTCCCCAATTTAACAGTACCCAATTTATTTTCTACCCAGCCTGTGACTACATATGGGTCAGCTAAAAGGCATGGTTCCACTTTCTCCAAAAAAAATGTAACTCCCACTGACCCAGAATCATCCTTTGGATGACCATCAAGGCGAGGCTCGGACTCGCATGTAATTCATCCTCACTCTTGTCAGGTTAAATTTCAGAGCCATCAAATCAAATCAGACAGCAGAGTATGGTTTGTTGTGCTTAGGCCCCATTCTTCTTCAACACACATCTACCCTCTGCATCCGGCTCTTCTCCTTGTTCCTCACTGTCCATACCCACATCTCTCCGTTCACCACGGTCATGCCGCACCTTCATCCGCTGGATTGTTTGCAGAACACGCACTGATGGCATTTTTCCAATACCCAACTTCTGTTCCTTTGCCCAATTTACTAGTCTGGCTATCTCTAGCCTCTCCATGCTCACAAAACGTGCCACAGTCATCAGCCAAGTCTCCTCCTCGTCATCAATCTCAAAGGCCCTGAATAAGTTCGGAACTAACCAGTCTTCAAACCATTGTCATCTGTCTGCCTGGTTCTGGTCTTGTGCTAGCTAGCTAGTGACAGCTCTGCAAAATGTTCCCAGGATGGCAAGGTATGTTGGGTGCACTTGCTTTCAAGTCGGAGGTCATGCCCTGCGAACTTTACATCCCATCATAGGCTGTGTCATGTGCATGTGCCTACTCCTACAGTCGGTTGGTGGAAAGTTTTGGCAGACACTGTTTTGACCAAGTGTAACCCTCTTTGTTATCCTCAGTGCAAACAATATGACATGATGTGTGTGTCTTACTGACAACAGTTTTTGGTGGGCAGTAAGCACCCAGCCCAATGAGCCGCAATTTCTTTAAAAAAAACAAAGACGACATAACAGTTATTAATCTACTGATCTGGTCAAGTTTGTTCTCATCATATGTGTAGTGTTGGTTTTCCCTCCTTGAAGACCAGCCAGGAACACATTCCTCTTGCTCTGGCATGCACCATCTTTGGGGAGGTAGGTTTGGGTGACATTCTTCCTCCTCAAGTGAATTAGATTAGTCTGCATTGAGGGGGTCACTTTACTACGAAGATTGGCCTGAAAAAAAGGCAGGACATAAGAGACTGTTCAAATGTTTACCTTCTTGAATAAAAAAGAGCCAAGCAAGAAGACCATGGTAACCCTACCACTGATAGAATATAACAGTACACTCAATAATGAGTCAATGAAATCACTGACCAATTTGATTGCTTTTCTCCTCAGCTCCCACTCACTCCACTCGTATGAGTTCACAATGTTAGTTTCCAACAAATGAGTGTCCATCTGAGTGCTGCTGTCACACTTCATGATGGGTTTTACCAACTGTCTCTCCCCGGACCGGATCTGCAGAGACAGAATTTCAGTGCACCGTTGGTAAGAATATCTCTGCAAGTTCTGAAGATACAACTTAAGAATTATGATATTGTAAGTGAACATACCTCAGAGTGTGGAGTGACACAGGCAAACTGTTGGAGGAGCTGGATAAGCTCAGGGGACCACTTTGTTTTCTCTGCCACACGGGCAATGTACTCATCTGGTTGGATCCCAATCTTAAAGCTGCCTTCTTGGAGCTGAAAACATAGTATTTCTCACTATGTTTCAGGACTGCTATGCTTGGGTTGCCTGAAAAAACATAGTCACTTATTGTGAATATTTTAAATATTGTAACAATATATACAAATGCCACCTCCAAAAATCTACACACCTGGCAGTAAAAGCCCATCCTTCTTCACGAGTGTATAACAGTGGAGGCTGCTGAGGGGAGGACGGCTCATAATAATGGCTGGAATGGAGTCAATGGAATGGTATCAACCACATGAAATGTGTTTGATACCATTCCATTGACTGCATTCCAGACATTATTATGAGCCGTCCTCCCCTGAGCAGCCTCCACTGGTGTATAACCACAAATTCCCTTGTATTGCAGTGGTAATTTGTCAAAGTTGGATGTTGTCTCAGGCAAGAGCTACTTTTGTGTTTTGATCTCAAAGGGGTCAATATGGTTTTGAGCTTATGATAGAGATGTAAGAAACGCAGACCTATACTGTTGGTGAATGTGAGTGTGGTAACACAGTACTTACCTGAAGACTCCTTCATTCTCTGCTCGTCGGTCTTGATCACCGACACCAGTATGTCCTCCAACTGACCATCAGGGAAGAGCTGGGACTAAGCAGCCAGGAAGGGCTGCAGGTTCACCATCATGTTACTGAGGATGCTCAACAGCACCATCTCATCCTGAAGACCTGACCAATAGTTTGCTAGAGCTGTGAAATGGGGCTGGAAGAGGACATATAGTATGAGAGTTGAGGCCTAGACATTAAGGGCCGGTTTCCCAGACATACTGTAGGTTAAGCCCTGGACTAAAAAGCACTTTCAATGGAGATTCCTGTGCTTTTTAGTGTAGAACTAGGTTTAATCTGTGTCTGGGAAACTACCATGTAATGGGAATATTTAAGATTACTAAAGTTCATATTTTTATTAAGCGTGATCAAATGTATATTTGATCACTATTTGGAGTTTCTGTAATACGCATGCTTTCCATTGTTCTGTTTGCGACATTTTAGGTGTGGGTTGATGGTTACTAGACCTGATGCTGAATGTTATGGATTGTTCTCATATCTGTTGATAGTGATTGACGCCAGACTGGAGGACCAAGTGCATGGACTGAGGACACACTGATTATTCACTGTTGTATTAGTATATAAATGGGCCTGTCTCCAAGAGGCCAGTTAGACATTTTCTATGCTAGATGTCTCCCTGTTGCAACTTGTATTAAACCAAATGGATTTAAGATTGACTTTATCTTCGACTTCTCTTTTATTCACTTGGAAATTCCTATTACACTCCCGGTAACTCAAATATAACCGAATATACAGTACCAGTCAAAAGTTTGGACACACCTACTCATTCAAGGGTTTTTCTTTATTTTTACTATTTTCAACATTGTAGAATAATAGTGAAGACATCAAAACTATGAAATAACACATATGGAATCATGTAGTAACCAAAATAGTGTTAAACAAATCAAAATACATTTTATATTTGAGATTCTTCAAATAGCCACCCTTTGCCTTAACGACAGCTTTGCACACTCTTGGCATTCTCTCAACCAGCTTCACCTGGAATGCTTTTCCAACAGTCTTGAAGGAGTTCCCACATATGCTGAGCACTTGTTGGCTGCTTTTCCTTCCCTCTGCCGTCCAACTCATCCCAAACCATCTCAATTGGGTTGAGGTCGGGGGATTGTGGATGCCAGGTCATCTGATGCAGCACTCCATCACTCTCCTTCTTGGTAAAATAGCCCTTACACAGCCTGGAGGTGTGTTGGGTCATTGTCCTGTTGAAAAACAAATGATAGTCCCACTAAGCCCAAACCAGATGGGATGGCGTATCGCTGCAGAATGCTGTGGTGGCCATGCTGGTTAATTGTCACTGACAGTGTCACCAGCAGAGCACCCCCACACCATAACACCTCCTCCTCCATGCTTTACGGTGGGAACTACACATGCGAAGATCATCCGTTCACCCACACCGCGTCTCACAAAGCCACGGCGGTTGGAACCAAAAATCTCAAATTTGGACTCATCAGACCAAAGGACAGATTTCCACCGGTCTAATGTCCATTGCTCGTGTTTCTTGGCCCAAGCAGGTCTATTCCTCTCATTGGTGTCCTTTAGTAGTGGTTTCTTTGCAGCAATTCGACCATGAAGGCCTGATTCACACGGTCCCCTCTGAACAGTTGATGTTGAGATGTGTCTGTGACTTGAACTCTGTGAAGCATTTATTTTGGCTGCAATTTCTGAGGCTGGTAACTCTAATGAACTTATCCTCTGCAGCAGAGGTAACTCTGGGTCTTCCATTCCTGTGGCGGTCCTCATGACAGCCAGTTTCATCATAGCACTTGATGGTTTTTGCGACTGCACTTGAAGAAACGTTCAAAGTTCTTGAAATGTTCCGTATTGACTGACCTTCATGTCTTAAAGTAATGATGGACTGTCGTTTCTCTTTGCTTATTTGAGCTGTTCTTGCCATAATATGGACTAGGTATTTTACCAAATAGATCCATCTTCTGTATACCACCCCCCCCCCCCCCCCCTCCCCTCCCCCCCCCCCCCCCCCCCCCCTCCTACCCTCCCCTCCCCTCCCCTCCTACCTTGTCACAACACAACTGATTGGCTCAAACGCATTAAGAAGGAAAGAAATTCCACAAATTAACTTTTAACAAGGCACACCTGTTAATTCAAATGCATTCCAGGTGACTACCTCATGAAGCTGGTTGAGATAATGCCAAGAGTGTGCAAAGCTGTCATCAAGGCAAAGGGTGGCTATTTGAAGAATCTCAAATATAAAATATATTTTGATTTGTTTAACACTTTTTTGGTTACTACATGATGTCCAAACTTTTGACTGGTACTGTATATGTGCAAGATACTTACAAAACCCGGTGCAGTGGGTACTGCAGTCTTCGAATGAACGGTGATCCTCAAAAGCTTCTTCCGTGTCGCTAGTTCAGTCTGTAGGGATTCAACTTGCTTTGCACATAGAATGACATCTGCCTGGTGAAGAACTGAAGCAGAAGTATGGGTAAACTGTCTTTATGAAACAGAATACTCTTGAAGAAACACTCATGGGACAATTTAATGAAATGACTTGACCTCATGAAGCCCATCCCCTTGCAACTCACCAAAATAACTTTGAGGAAGGCTTCATGTTGTCGTATGTTATAGAGCCTGTTAAAGCAGTCTCTGGTCTCAGCCTCCAGGTCCAGGAGCCTCTCCAGCAGGGTTGTGTACTGCCACACCAAACTCCAGTTCCTAATCAATGTCTTTACTAGTGGATGGAATGGCTTCATTCAGAATTGCTGGCACTATATAGGAAATTGACAATTAATAGTATGGAGCTCTGTAGTTCAGTTAACAAGAATATCCATTCACTATCAGAAAACAAATTTGATGTTTGGGAACTCACAGTCATCGATGACCTCTCCTCCTTTCCTGCTGTCTTTGTTGAAGAGGCCAGTCACAATCATGCTGAGCTTGTTGATCTGTTGCTCCTTGACCTTCTTTATGAGGGACATGAAGGTCCCCAGCTCTGACTGGGGAAAGATGCTTTGTAAGGCATCTGCAAAACACACACAGTAATTCAGATATGAGCAAAACAGGAACAAAATGATAAATGGTGGAAAATGGGATGATTCCCACATTGTAAACACCATCACTTTCATGGCCAGTGTAATTACAACTTACCATTTTGCCCTTTACCTTCTTTGTGAATAGGGATACCTTAATTTAAACAATAGCAAAACGTACTTCCCGCCTCTGTTTCAGTAAAAAGCTGAGGGATGGGGATGGAGAAATGTAACCACTCAAATTCATAGACAGAGCTATGGGTGCAAGGACTGACCATCCATGATATCAACATTATAGTTTTAATCATGTTTTTAGGCTATATAGTGTTTGTTTCAATTTACTTTGTTTACAAACACTAAAGTAAAACAAGCTTATATTTTGGTTTCTGATTGGGTATGACAAGTTAACTATGCTCATAGGGCATTGATTTTCTTCAAGAATCAATGGGTAAATATAATTCATTTATAAGTCCCAAAAATTGATGTAGCAACTAAGGATTGCCCCTTTAATTAGTGGTACAAAATGAGAATAAAATAGTCCTTATGGGTACCTGTAGCCTCTCGCAATGTAGTGATGTCTGTGGGGGAAACCAGACCTGAGCGCAGCAGAACATTACTGACGATCTTATGGTAAAGGCCCTCCAGATCCTCACGTGTTTTCACTCGGCTGTCGGGGATTTCTCGACTCACTGGGCCTAGCCTTGACTGAAGTACCCGCTGGTGATCCTCAAGGAACTCACCTGGGACACAAAACACGACCTTTGAGGATAAACTGATGAATGGGTACAAGACCAGCATGCCATGTCTTTAGAAGGTACTTGACAATGGCCTTATGTCTCAACACAGTTAGGGTTTAGTTAGTAGACCATATGAGTCATACATTATTAGATACATTGGTTCATGCATCCTTTGAGCATTTTAAAGCCCCCACTTACGTCGAGATGTGTAATTCATGTCAAAGTAAGCTTGCATCTTGATTGTGTCAAGGGCAGGGCTCCCCTGATCCATGAGCTTGTCCACAGACAACTGCAAAGGAAAAACAACACTGATGAGCCCATTGCGCGAAGATCTCAAGCATGATACCAGCCAAACCTGGTTGTTATAATGAAATGGAGTGAGAATACAGACTTACTTCCACAAGTTCTAACATCTTGCTGGGTAAGAGTCCGATTAACATTGAATAGATTTTGTGGATCCAACACAACACTTTTACCGAATACTAGGAAAAACATTGATTTGACAAAGTAGCTAAACACTGTCACTGCTTGCCTTTTTCACACAAGGCTAGTAACTAGCTAGCCACGTTACTAATTACAGTGCATTCAGAAAGTATTCAGACCCTTTTACTTTTTCCACATTTTTTACGTTACAGCCTTATTCTAATATGGATTTTTTTAAAATGTTTCTTCCCCCTCATCAATCTACACACAATACCCCATAATGACAAATCAAAAACGTTTTTTAAATATTTTCTTTACTAGTTTATACAAATACAAAAACTGAAATATCACATTTACATAAGTATTCAGACCCTTTACTCAGTACTTTGTTGAAGCACCTTTGGCATCGATTACAGACTCGAGTCTCCTTGGGTATGACACTACAAGCTTGGCACACCACTGCTGCACCGGGTCCTCATGGTTCAATGCTGGTTGCCATGGTAATCAATGTAACACTGCAGGAGCCACAGGACGTAAAAGTTGCAAAATTGTAACAGTAGTAGCTAGCATAATGCATTGATGCACATATGACTGGTGAATGAGTCTTCTCACTAATTCCATGTCATTAAATGCACATTTAAAAAATGTACTTTGCAGAACATTGTCATGCAAGACGTAATGGCAACAGATACATTCTGATAAAATATTTATTATAAAAACAGACATGACATACACAACTTGGTCTAGATTAAGTTAGCAAGACTCGAGCATGAATGCACAATTCGAAAAGGAGAGACTGGGACTTCAACTTTACCTCTGACCACCGAGAACTAACATCAATGAGCTGACTATTCATCAGTCTCCATATTTCAGCCCTTGGATAAGGCCTTTCCATTTCACACAGGGATTGCTTACGGACTTCCACTTAGGACCTGAGATTAAGATCACATGGCAACCCCACTTCTTTAGAGTAGAAAAACACATGGCAGTTCTTAAAACACACTGACGAGCACATGCAAAAATGGTTCGTCAAAGACTGGTTAAGTAATACATGAAATCATACACTAAGTAGGTCTACTGTCAATAAAACATGGGGTTGATATTCAGGTTTATCAAAATGCTGCAAGGTCTTTAAACTAATAAGGCCAATTGCTTGTCCATAGTATCCATAGGAATAGTCTATTTTTAGGAAGAGTGAAAGGCAACCATCAAATGGTAAAGTCATAGCCTCAATGAATCAACATACAACGTTCTCATCAAGTTCAGGTATTTGCTGTCAAAACACTTTTCCAAAAATACTTTTACAGTAGAAAAACATGCACTTACCAGAAAGATTGATCAAACGTTGAAAGATTGATCAATACTCAAGTCAGAAAATTCTATATATTGTGAACAAACATGCAAAGTCAAAAAAGAAAATAAATACAATGTGAAGAAACATGTACCTGAGTCAAGAATAGGTTACGTTAAGAATTGAATCAAGGGCCCCTTCACAAACAAAAATGTAGGTTTAAAGGATCAATGCACAATATAACAGTGTGTTTTCAGCACAATAATGGCCTCAAATTCAGGACTTACATTATAGGCCTTCAATTTGGGACATGCATCATTAAAATTAGGTTGTGGAGAATCAAGAGGGAAAACCCAAATGGAGAAGTAAAATGAAAACATTCAGTCTACCATTTAGGGGTGGTGGCAGTTTCAACATACTGTACATACTCAACATTTCACCTGCATTGATTTGGCTACAAATCTTGGAGGGGAAACTACAGTAACCTACCTTTCACCAAGTTAACGCTGAAAAGATAAACATGGACATTTTAGGTTTAAGTTATTTCAAGATAAAATGTAGAAAGCTAATAAAGGAGAGGCACACAGAGGAGAAATATGTTCAAACTGTTCTGAATCACCTAAAAATCAGTCATCTTTCTTTACATGTGGCCAGACCCTGATCAATGGATTCTAAGTAAATCTTTGGACATCCTCAGGACATCTTTGACAAAGGCATGATTTAAGGAATGCAAATGTCTTGAGTCAGGATTCATGCCACGAAGCAGAAATGGAAACATTCTGATCGGTCTGGCAACAGTAGAAACATTTTATAATCACACTCAAAGTAATAGAGCATTGGAAGCTTCAGTTCTGAAATGTCCTCTCGACCCAAAAAAAAGTAATGCATGATGTAGTAGAGCTATATTGCACTTGTGTGAAAACTTGTATCCATTCATTTCAGGAGCTTCCAGTCCAGAAGATGAGTCCAACTCAGAAGCACTTCCTGAAGACGATCTGGTGGCCATATTCCTCATGGCTGATCCAGGCAGAGGCAAAGGATGACAAGTTGGCCAACACTGCACCTCCGCTCCACACAGAGAAATCTCTGTCCTTAGGACTGGTCACACACTCCCTAAAGTCTGTAGGCACCATGGTTCTAATTTCACTCTGAAGCCGCTCAGGCAGTCCAGCCAGCAGGGTATTTCCACCTTCACAGAGAAAATGAAAGACATTTTAGGTTGTGTCCCAAATGGCTACTTTTGACCAGGAAGTAGTGCACTTCATAGGAATAGGGTGACATTTGGGACACAATCTTAGAGTAGACATGGGTGGATAAGTATTCAGCAACTAATAAACCAAAACTATGTACCTGATAGGACAATGTTCCCCAAAAAGCTCAGCCAGAGGTCAATGTCTGAACGGAGGATTGACTTGAAAATACTCTCATGCATCCCGTAATGGTCTCGTCCAATCAGCTCTGGCTTAAACAGTATCTCAGGAGCCCTGTGGATGGAAGACATCACTGATTAACAGATCATAGCTGACCCCTGGTGGCCATCCAATGGCTTACTTGGTAGTACCATAATCAAAAGTGAAACCTAAACAGCACCGTTTGCGGAGTTAAACACTTGCAGTTCTTAGTCTCAATTTCCTCAGTACATAGCAGCAGATCACTTAATCGTCACCACTCATTAGGGCGAGTGTTCTTTAAAGTGGGGATACAGGGGGTCGGTTAAAGGGTTACCTGAACCACTCTGTGCTGAGGCAGACGACCTGTCCATCAGGCATGGTGTAATACATCTCTCTGCTAGCCGACCGCCCACAGGTTAACTCAGATTCATAGTCCTGGGCGACCCTGCAGCATTTCTCCTTTATCTCTCTCACAATCTCCATCTCGGCAGAAGTGTGCATGCACACCCCCTGCTCCTGCAGAAGCTGGGACACAGGATAGCACAAAACAAAGAAAGTGAATATAATTAATTGTTTTATTGATCAAATGAGCATATTTGACAGAGTCCCTGTAAAAAAAAGTATCAAATACCATTTTAAGGTGCATTGTAACATCATGGCCAGCCAGGGTGAAGTGCTGCACTGCCTGAGGTAGACAGTATCCCTCAAACACTGGCACACTATGACACACTCCATCCCCAGAGTCAAACACTGGCACACTATGACTCACTCCATCCCCAGAGTCAAACACTGGCACACTATGACACACTCCATCCCCAGAGTCAAACACTGGCACACTATGACTCACTCCATCCCCAGAGTCAAACACTGGCACACTATGACTCACTCCATCCCCAGAGTCAAACACTGGCACACTATGACTCACTCCATCCCCAGAGTCAAACACTGGCACACTATGACTCACTCCATCCCCAGAGTCAAACACTACACCTAGTAGGAGAAAGAGGCTACAATGATCAGCGATCTTAACCATTATTAATGCAAAAATACATTGTTTCTCTCCTAGATTGATAGCAATCTCCTAGATTGTAACTTTAAACAAGAGTGAACGCATGCAATCCTTTACTCAGGAATATATTCACTGGATTAGATGGATTCATATATATTAACTGAATCTACTGTATATTTATTCACATCAACAGAGTAGATAAAGTTAGTTTACCTGTGGACCCCCCTGTTGCGTAGAGTGCCAGCCTTGCCTGCATGGCCACGTAGGTGAGGGGAACGTTTAAGCACTCAAACATGAGTTCCACCATGCGCTGGCGGTTCGCCAGCGGGTTCATGGCTGCTTCGGTCAGTAGGACAGGGTGATCATCTGGATCGACCTGCAGCAGCTGGAACGTGTGGTGCCAAATCTGAAATGAGACCAGTGAGGTTTATATCCTATAACCACCAGGTTCTACAGTGTCATCAGAACAGCCATGGGATAGAATTGTCAACAGTAGACAAACCTTTTCCATTTCATCCCAGTTGCGTATAATTCCATTTTTCATGGGATACTTCAATGCCAGGACTCCTTCTCATGTGTTGAGCCTCATGTCCAATGAAAGTCTCCCATTCAAAGTTGCCATTCATTATTTCCTGTTGACAAAACAATAGGCAAATCAGAAAGCCAGTCTCCATGTAGGGAAACGTATGATGGCGGCCTAGCATATGAATAGCGACATGACCCGAGTACAAACACCAAATACTTTGCTCATACAATTACCTCATATTTAGGCAGCCCAATGATATTTGGGAATATAGTATTTGGGAGGTCCTGATCAGCAAACCCTGCTTTCATCAAACCAGACCCTGTGTCCAGCACTATTGGCGTCTTGAAATTGGTCATCTGTAAATAAAAGTGCCGAGATATAATAATTCCCATTTAACTGAAAGAGAATGCATAATATTCAGCAGGTCAATGGTGAATAATGTACATTTCTTTCCCATCAACTACTAAGCCTTACGTCGGTTATTTGGACATTGGGTTGATTGACAGGTGACCTAGAGATGTACCTCCTTGTAGTCATACACCTCTGAAACCCATCAGGGATCTCTACTTCTCTCCGCTCATCAGCTCTGCTTGGTTCACATGATCCAGATGTTACTTCAGCAGACATATGAGGTAGCTCTTTAGAATTAAACCCAGAATGTACTACTGAAACATCCTCAGATTACTGGGAGAGGTGGATTTCTATCTGAACACCGGCAGAGAGTCAACAGGTGTTAATGTTGATTCCACAGAGGAATTGTCTAGCGTGGACTGTTCATGGGACCCCAAAGGGTTATTGCATAAGGATGCCTGTGGAGCTGCGAGGGGTTTGTTGTTGTTGTTGTTGTTATTATTGCTGTGCTCATTCACATCTGGACTATGAGATCTGTTTGGAGGTTTGAGGCTTCGCTCTTTAGGCTTCGGATGAGTATTGAACTCTGGCATGACTTGTGGTGCGAGTCTAGGGTCAGGGTCTGAATCACTATCAGGGCAGTGTGTTAAATACATGGTTTCCGTTGAGATATTGAGTTCTTGCCCTTTGTCATTCACAGGAAGTGATGCCTTTCTTGGTTTAGGCACTGGGGGGTTACCACTCGGGTCAAACGCTCCATGTTCTGCTGATCTGCTCAAAGTCTTCTGATACAGGCAATATGGCAGAAAAGGTTGCAGTAATAACAAGGGATTTATTAGGATCAAGGTTTATGGTGTCTTTGGGCAGGGTTGGCAAGTGCTTTATGTTGAGCTGTTGGCTTCTATAGTCTGATATAATCTCATCACAGAGAGCACCATCTTCCAAGATATTCACTTTAGATGTCCATTATAGAGCATTTCACTACTTTCCTGGTTCTGCTTATCCTCTTCTTGAGTTGACATTCTTTGGTCATCTCTTTAGCTAGGTTATTTTCCATCCTCTCCACTTCCCTTTTCTCCCTCTCCAGTTCTAATAGAAAACACATGCCTCTCCTTGCTCCTACTTCAGCTTGTCTGAGCTTGTGGATCTTGAGGTTCTCCTCCATGATGAGCTCATCTAGAACGTGCAGTCCTTTAAGCTCCTTCAGGAACTGTCCCCTGTTGGTTTGAGGGGCCCTCAACCCCGTCGGCCCGGTCTCCATCAGCCTTCCATTGTGGCTCATGCTGCATTCTGAGGCCTCTGATGACCTGCATTCACTATGGTTGTCAGTGTCGGCAGAGTCAAGACCCAGGACACCCGCCGCTTTTAAATCACTGGAGGACATCTGGAAAACAGAATAACATTGTTATTGATTTAACAACTAAAATAATAGTGGAGATTCCCCATCAGCTGGTTATCTATTACAATTTAAATGCCACTAAACAAAATAAACAATTGTCTTGTATTAAGTAAAATACATGTTCAATCTTGTAAAAACAATACTTTCTGACAAATGTGCAGGGAGTCTCCACGAAAATAGTACAAATGGTCGTTTGTTGACCAGTGCATTTTGTAATTGCAGGAAAACCCCAAAATCTAATTTATGGAATCTCATTTGTAATGTACAGACAGTGGTCTACTTTGTAGTTCATCAGCTTAAGTGGTTCCATGATCCAAATCTGACCTACAGGAACACATTTACAGTGCCTTCAGTAAGTAGTCACACCTCTTGACTTCTCCACATTTTGTTGTGTTATAAAGTGGGATTAAAATTGATTTAATTGTAATTTTTGTCAATTATCTACACAAAATACTCTAATGTCAAAGTGGAAGAAAAATTCGAACATTTGTAAAAATAAAAAAATCTACGTATGAAAAATAAAACACTAATATGACCAAAAGTATGTGGACACCTGCTTGTCGAACATCTCATTCCAAAATTGTTGCTCCTATACGTTTCCCCTTCACAATAACAGCCCTTACAGTTGACCGGAGCAGCTCTAGCAAGGCAGAAATTTGACAAACTGACTTGTTGGAAAGGTGGCATCCTATAATGGTGCCACGTTGAAAGTTACTGAGCTCTTCAGTAAGGCCATTCTACTGCCAATGTTTGTCTATAGAGATTGCATGACTGTGTGTTCGATTATTTACGCCTGAAATAGCCGAATCCACTAATTTGAAGGGGTGTCCACACACATACATGCATATATAGTATATCTTGATTAGATAAGTAGTCAACCCCCTGAGTCATACATTTTAGATCCAACTTCGGCAGCAATTGCAGCTGCGAGTCTTTCTGGGTAAGTCTCTAAGAGCTTTCCACACCTGGACTGTACAACATTTTCCCATTATTATTTTCAGAATTCTTCAAGCTCTGTCAAATTGGTTGTTGATCATTGCTAGACAACCATTTTTCCAGGTCTTGCCATAGATTTAAGTCAAAACTGTAACTCAAAACATTCACTGTCTTCTTGGTAAGCAACTCCAGTGTAGATTTGTGTTTTAGGTTATTGTCCTGCTGGGGGGTGAATTCATCTCCCAGTGTCTGGTTGAAAGCAGACAACCAGGTTTTCCTCTAGAATTTTGCCTGTGCTTAGAGCAAATGTAAAAATATGGAGAGTGGTACTCCGTAATGTGTTGTATTGGCTTTGCCATAAACATAACACATTGTATTCAGAACAAAATGTTAATTGCTTTGGCACAATGTTTTTGCAGTTATACAGTGGGGAAAAAAAGTATTTAGTCAGCCACCAATTGTGCAAGTTCTCCCACTTAAAAAGATGAGAGAGGCCTGTACTTTTCATCATAGGTACACATCAACTATTACAGACAAATTGAGAAGAAAAAATCCAGAAATTCACATTGTAGGATTTTTTATTAATTTATTTGCAAATTATGGTGGAAAATAAGTATTTGGTCACCTACAAACAAGCAAGATTTCTGGCTCTCACAGACCTGTAACTTCTTCTTTAAGAGGCTCCTCTGTCCTCCACTTGTTACCTGTATTAATGGCACCTGTTTGAACTTGTTATCAGTATAAAAGACACCTGTCCACAACCTCAAACAGTCACACTCCAAACTCCACTATGGCCAAGACCAAAGAGCTGTCAAAGGACACCAGAAACAAAATTGTAGACCTGCACCAGGCTGGGAAGACTGAATCTGCAATAGGTAAGCAGCTTGGTTTGAAGAAATCAACTGTGGGAGCAATTATTAGGAAATGGAAGACATACAAGACCACTGATAATCTCCCTCGATCTGGGGCTCCACGCAAGATCTCACCCCGTGGGGTCAAAATGATCACAAGAACAGTGAGCAAAAATCCCAGAACCACACAGGGGGACCTAGTGAATGACCTGCAGAGAGCTGGGACCAAAGTAACAAAGCCTACCATCAGTAACACACTACGCCGCCAGGGACTCAAATCCTGCAGTGCCAGACGTGTCCCCCTGCTTAAGCCAGTACATGTCCAGGCCCGTCTGAAGTTTGCTAGAGTGCATTTGGATGATCCAGAACAGGATTGGGAGAATGTCATATGGTCAGATGAAACCAAAATATAACTTTTTGGTAAAAACTCAACTCGCCGTGTTTGGAGGACAAAGAATGCCGAGTTGCATCCAAAGAACACCATACCTACTGTGAAGCATGGGGGTGGAAACATCATGCTTTGGGGCTGTTTTTCTGCAAAGGGACCAGGACGACTGATCCGTGTAAAGGAAAGAATGAATGGGGCCATGTATCGTGAGATTTTGAGTGAAAACCTCCTTCCATCAGCAAGGGCATTGAAGATGAAACGTGGCTGGGTCTTTCAGCATGACAATGATCCCAAACACACCGACCGGGCAACGAAGGAGTGGCTTCGTAAGAAGCATTTCAAGGTCCTGGAGTGGCCTAGCCTAGGGAGTTGAAAGTCCATGTTGCCCAGCGACAGCCCCAAAACATCACTGCTCTAGAGGAGATCTGCATGGAGGAATGGGCCAAAATACCAGCAACAGTGTGTGAAAACCTTGTGAAGACTTACAGAAAACGTTTGACCTGTGTCATTGCCAACAAAGGGTATATAACAAAGTATTGAGAAACTTTTGTTATTGACCAAATACTTATTTTCCACCATAATTTGCAAATAAATTCATTAAAAATCCTACAATGTGATTTTCTGGAAAAAATTCTCTCATTTTGTCTGTCATAGTTGACGTGTACCTATGATGAAAATTACAGGCCTCTCATCTTTTTAAGTGGGAGAACTTGCACAATTGGTGGCTGACTAAATACTTTTTTTCCCCACTGTACTTTAGTGCGGTGTTGTAAACAGGATGCATGTTTTGGAATATATTTCATTCTGTACAGGCTTCCTTTTCACTCTGTCAATTATGTTTGTATTGTGGAGTAACTACAATGTTGTTGAGCCATCCTCAGTTTTCTCCTATCACAGCCATTAAAGTAACTGTTTTAAAGTCACCATTGACTTCATGGTGAAATCCCTAAGCGGTTTCCTTCCTCACCAGCAACTGCGTTAGGAAGGACGCCTGTATCTTTGTAGTGACTGGGTGTATTGATACACCATCCAAAGTGTAATTAATAACTTCACCATGCTCAAAGGGATATTTCATGTCTGCTTTTTTAATTTTTACCAATAGGTGCCCTTGTTTGCGAGGTATTGGAAAACCTCCCTGGTCTTTGTGGTTTAAATTCACTGCTTGACTGAGGGACCTTACAAATAATTGTATATGTGGGGTACAGAGATGAGGAAGTCATTCAGAAATCATGTTAAACACTATTATTGCACACAGAGTGAGTCCCTGCAACTTATTCTGTGACTTGTTAAGCACTTTTATTTATCCTGAACTTATTTAGGCTTGCCATAACAAAGGGGTTGAATACTTATTGACTCAAGGCATTTCATTTTTAATTATTTGTAAACATAAAAAAAAAAAACATAATTCCACTTTGATATTATGGGGTATTGTGTGTAGGCCAGTGACAAAAATGTAATCCATTTTAAATTCAGGCTGTAACAATTTTTTGGGGGAAAAAGTCAAGGGGTGTGAATACTTTCTGAAGGCACTGTATATCATCATGACCTACCAAACTTATCTGCTCCTCACTGCCCCATGATGCCCACGGTTTGCTCGTGCTCTCAGTCTTCAGAAGAATATCCAACATCTGCTCCTGTGCCATCACATTCTCTTCCGCCTGTACAAAAACACAAAAAGTTAGAGAAGTGTTTACAAATGTAAGCTATCGGCCTATGCCAACTGTGATTTAGGTCACTATTACCAATCTCGGTAATGTGCAAATCTAAAGCTCCGAACTATTTACTGCTTTGGCATGAAAACAATCCATTGAACGTTTGAGTCAACCTGCCTCCAGTATTACAGCTGCCTGGTCCAGGATCTCTGCCACCTTCCTGAGACCCTCCTGTTCCTTTAGGTCCCAGTCATTTAACGAGACTTCAGTCATGGAGCTTGTAATCCTGCAAACACATTAAACAGCAACAATATGAGTGCTAGGCACAATTAGCGGCTATGTGGACCATGTCAGGAGACAAGAGCATAAATGTGTCATTACCTTTCACAGGTGTCCTGTTTGGAGTTATGGAAGTCATACATATCCCAGAGAAGAGTGGGAATGCTCTCTGCAGTGTAGTTGGGCCCGTCTCTTGCATATGTGATGGTGCTGGAGAGGGCATTCCAAATGGGGCTCAGTTCCGACTCCTTAAAGCTGTCCTGTGCCTGTAGGATACTGTCCCTGGGCTGTGCTCCTCTGCTCTGAGGACTGGTGTGTACCTCAGTCTGTGTGGGCTGGTCTCGAGACCAATTGGATAATTGGTCGGTGTGGTGGGAGCACTCGGAGGGGTTTGGGCTCTTGATGTCCCGCTGACGTGGTGATGGGTTCTGGGTGATGGTGACCGTGTAAGAGTTCTCCAGGTCATCCACAGGCAGACTGAGCCAGGGGTTCTGGGGCAGGGTAGCCGACCGCTTCAGCTTGATCACAAAATTTAGCGAGTCCACCGTTATTTTAGGGATAATCTGAATGCTGGCCCTGGAGGTGTTTCCCACAGAGCCAAAGTCAAACTCCTGCCTGCGGTCCTCCGAGTCAGACACGCTGGAGATGTTCTCCTCGTGGATCTGGGGCTGCCTGGTGATGGCCTGAAGGAGTCTCTGGTTCCTGGTAACCTGGACAGCCCTACCCATCCCTCCCTCCCTGCCCCAGTCTCTGCTTCCTGCTCCATCAAAGCCAGAGTCAATGGATCTGAGAGAGGGAGGCTTCCCCACAGCAGACAAAGCCCCAGAGATGGCACTGGAGGGGGACGTACCTAGAGGGGCTTGATGGTGCTTGAGGTTGGAGAGGGAGCCATGGCTGTGCAAGTTGTCTGTGTGGTGGTCTGATCTGGAACCAGAGGTTCTAAGGAGACTACATAATGCCCTGTCTGGACCGTTGTGAATGGCCTCGGGGCCTCCTCCGCCCACAGCCAGGTTAGTGTGTGGCCCAGGCCCTTTCCTGTGGCGGGCTCTCAGAAACTCATACTGCCACTGCAGTGCCAACTGGAAGTCGTTGATAGGTACTGCTCCTGGAGAGGTCAGGAGTTTACGCAGGGTCATGCACCTGGAGAGAAGGTGGCAGGGTCAACTTGGCTGTGAACACGTATTCAATGCAAATACTGCCTTACAAGTTGGCAGACAAATGGCTATGGAAGTTTTAACTAGTTAATACCCTCCTAAAGCGTTTAAACATGATTATGCAACAGAAGTTCTGACACACAAGCTGGAGTTTCTCACCCATGTGACAGCTGTTTGCCCATCTGCTGGAGCTGGGCATCAGGGATGACATTGGCCAGGTGAGCCAGCTGGGCCAGCTCCTCAATGTCTGGGGAGGGTTTCTTTCTCAGGAGGTCACAGACCGCCTGCCTCCACACAGGGACAGGGACATGCATCTCCAGCGGGTGGCACTGTTTGGGGAGGCTGTCGCAGTTCACACCCCACAGAAGGTCTTGGAGAAAAGTCTCACACAGGACGATGCGGTACCAGCTATTGGCCTGTTGAGATGAAAGAAATTGAGTACATGACATTAGATTAAATAGACAATGTATAACCACATTACAATCCACATGCATGTCACGAGGAGATAGAAATGTCAAACGTAATGTCATTTCAATAATCTTCCTATTTGTTGTCAATTTCAATTGCATCACCACTTCAGTATTATATAAACATGTATAAGTTAGCATACACTCTCAGAAGTCATAAAAGGTCAGTCCAAGAGGATACCTACTTTGTTGTAGTAGTGGTAGTAGTCGGCGACTGCTCCGAGGGTCTGCCGCGGAAGCTCTACAGCAGAGTGGAAGTTCTCCTTCAGTCTGTCCAGATCCTGCACCCACTCTTCCCTGGTCTGGGCATCACCAGGAGGCAGAGTCTCAGCTAATGTTTGGATCACATTCTCAGCACTGCGGACTAGAGCCTGGTAGCAGGGGGAGAACACATGTTAACACAACCCCACTGTGTTGTTCAGGATCCATACAGAAGCTTTAATACTTCAATGCACCCATCTTAGGAGGTTAATATCAGAGTATCCTATATTTACAATCGCAGGTGTATAGATGGATGCCTCAAATTCAGATGTTAACATCTCAGCCTTCCTCGCTTCTTTAGCGATCTCTATTCTGTAAGGCTGGAGCTTATCTTTTTGAAGGCTTTTAATCTGTTCAGTTATCTGCAAGTGGAGGTAAATGAACCAAAATAATCAACAAGGCATGACAGTTGGGCCGTGTTCATTAGGCACCAAATGGAAGAAAACTGACTTAAACAGGGAGGGACTACATGGACTTAAGAATATTTTTACTAAAATGTTTTCTGTTGCATGCCCCAATGAACACAACCCTGGAGTAATTGTTATGTATTATAACCCACCTGCTGTGCCTCATCACGCAGCTGGAAGACCTGCACCTGGAGATGGGCCTTAGAAAAGGCCTGTTGCCACAGCAACTCTATTTTTTCAGCAGCCGCTGTTATCCTTTCAACAAAGACAAGAGACCTTCAACCGTGGAAAATACTTATTGTAGCAGATTACTATGATGAACCTTGAAATAGAACAGCATAATATGTATCCATTGACAGCTTTGCATAAAAAGTTAGTAATTTCCTGTGTAACGTGTAAGTCTTCTCCTCAACATTACATTTTAACTCACACCATACTCCTCCCTCTAAATGACAGGTCTAGATTTACTGGCTAAGCAGTCTCTACCTGGGCCCGGTTTCCCAAAAGCTACACTGAAGAAAAATATAAAACGCAACATGTAAAGTGTTGGTCCCATGTTTCATCGCAGAAGATCCCAGAAATGTTCCATATGCACAAAAAGCTTATTTCTCTCAAATTGTGTGCACAAATTTGTTTACATCCCTGTTAGTGAGCATTTCTCCTTTCCCAAGATAATCCATCCACCTGACAGGTGTGGCATAGCAAGAAGCTGATTAAACAGCATGATGATTGGGGCAATAAAGGGCCACTAAATTGTGCAGATTTGTCACACAACATAATGCCACAGATGCCTCAAGTTTTGAGGGAGCATGCAATTGGCATGCTGACTGCAGGAATGTCCACCAGAGCTGTTGCCAGTGAATGTTAATTTCTCTACCATAAGCCGCCTCCAACGTATTATTAGAGAATTTGGCAGTACGTCCAACCGGCCTCACAACCGCAGACCACGTGTATGGTGTCGTGTGGGCGAGCGGTTTGCTGATGTCAACGTTGTGAACAGAGTGCCCTATGGTGGCGGTGGGGTTATGGTATGGGCAGGCATAAGCTAAGGAAAATGAACACAATTGCATTTTATCGATGGCAATTTGAATGCACAGAGATACCGTGACGAGATCCTGAGGCCCATTGTGAGGCCCATCTTTTTTTTAAGGTATCTGTGACCAACAGATGCATATCTGTATTCCCAGTCATGTGAAATCCATAGATTAGGGCCTAGTGAATTTATTTCAATTGACCGATTTCCTTATATGAACTGTAACTCACTAAAATCTTAAAATTGTTGCATGTCGCATTTATATTTTTGTTTATATTAATCGTTAGAACAGTCATAGGAGAATCGTTAAATCTCAGAGCTGTTTCCCAAAACCATCGTTACCGAAGTTTCTCTTGAAAACGTTTGTTATTTAACGACTGCCTCAGACCAGTCGTAGAAGAGCTAAGTACGTAGTTAGATGCTTTTTTTGCCCTTCCATGTCACTTTATACACAGGAGATCTCCGCTAAACACAAAATCAAGATGTCTATCGGTCTTTCTGTGACCGCCGATAACTTCAGAACAAAATGTGACAGTGACTACAAATACAAAGTTGCCCATTTGTTTGCATAACATGGCAAAGGATAAAGACCCTTCTAATGAAACCGGAGATGATTGTATTAAAAGATAAATACAGTATAGGCTACATAGACCTATATATTTGAATTATATTGAAAATAAATGTCATGTTAATTCAATTGAGTTTTACTTAGCTATTTGTATGCTACCATCTGAAATGTTTGCCTCGATATAGCCAGTTTCATGTGTAACATGTCCGCAATGTGCCAAGTCTTGATTTGGTGCATTATTATAGAGTAAGCATTAGAATAAAGCCATCTCAATATTTGGAGCCATACAGTGCATTCGGAAAGTATTCCGACCCCTTTACTTTTTCCACATTGTTACATTATAGCCTTATTCTAAAATGGATTCAATAAATGTTATTCCCTCATCAATCTACACACAATACCCCATAATGCAAATTTACATAAGTATTCAGACCCTTTGCTATGAGACTCGAAATTGAGCTCAGGTGCATCCTGTTTCCATTGATCATCCTTGATGTTTCTACAAATTGATTGGAGTCCACCTGTGATAAATTCAATTGATTGGACATGATTTGAAAAGGCACAAACCTGTCTATATAAAGGTCCCACAGTTTACAGTGAATGTCAGAGCAAAAACCAAGCCATGAGATCGAAGGATTTGTCCGTAGAGCTCAGAGACAGGATTGTGTCGAGGCACAGATCTGGGGAAGGGTACCAAATAAAAAAATTGTCTGCAGCATTGAAGGTTCCCAAGAACACAGTGGCATCCATCATTCTTAAAATGGAAGAAGTTTAGAACCACCACGACTCTTCCTAGAGCTGTCCGCCCAGCCAAACTGAGCAATTGGGGGAGAAGGGCCTTGGTCAGGGAGGTGACCAAGAACCCGATAGTCACTGACAGAGCTCCAGAGTTCCTCTGTGGAGATGGTTGTCCTTCTGGAAGGTTCTCCCATCTCCGCAGCACTCCACCAATCAGGTCTTTATGGTAGAGTGGCCAGACGGAAGCCATTCCTCAGTAAAAGGCCCATGACAACCCGCAAAAGGCACCTAAAGGACTCTCAGATCATGAGAAACAAGATTCTCTGGTCTGATGAAACCAAGATTGAACTCTTTGGTCTGAATGCCAAGCGTCACGTCTGGAGGAAACCTGGCACCATCCCTACGGTGAAGCATGGTGGTGGCAGCATCATGCTGTGGGGATGTTTTTCAGCGGCAGGGACTGGGAGACTAGTCAGGATCGAGGCAAAGATAAAAGAAGCAAAGTATAGAGAGATCCTTGATGACCTCAGACTGGGGCGAAGGTTCACCTTCCAACAGGACAACGACCCTAAGCACACAGCCAAGACAACGCAGGAGTGGCTTCAGGACAAGTCTCTGAATGTCCTGGAGTGGCCCAGCTAGAGCCCGGACTTGAACCCGATCTAATATCTCTGGAGAGACCTGAAAATAGCTGTGCAGCGACGCTCCCCATCCAACCTGACAGAGCTTGAGAGAATCTGCAGATAAGCATGGGAGAAACTCCCCAAATACAGGTGTGCCAAGCTTGTAGCGTCATACCCAAGAAGACTTGAGGCTGTAATCGCTGCCAAAGGTGCTTCAACAAAGTACTGAGTAAAGGGTCTGAATACTTAAGTAAATGTATTCGTTTTTTATTTTTAATACATTTGCAAAAATGTCTAAAAACCTGTTTTTGCTTTGTCATGTGTTAGTGTAGATTGAAAAAAAATGATTTAATCAATTTTAGAATAAGGCTGTAACGTAACAAAATGTGGAAAAAGTCAAGGGTTCTGAATACTTCCCGAATGCACTGTAGGTGATAATATCTCTAGGAGCTGATCCGTCAGTATTGTGGAATAATTTGATGTTAAGGTAAGATTGGAAAGGGAGAATACTGATCATTTCTTTCAATCCGATCAGTATCGACATGCCTCGACGCACTTAAGACCTTAAAAGCACTGTTACAGTAGGAAGTGAGCAGTAGCTATAGGTGCAGATCAACTCAGCTTACCTGTACTAACCAAAGTAGGCCTTTGTTATGTCCAACTGAAAGAGAGACTCTTACCTCCGCAGCAGTTGGAACTTGGCTTCGTTGCTGTAACAGAAGTAATTCCGTTCGGTGAAGGCAGAGGGCACAGGCTGTCTGGAGAGAATCTGCAGTGTGGAAATACAGGATGGGAGCCTCTGGACCACGGAGAGAAACTCCTGGACAAAGGCATCAATCTCCTGCATAAACAAGTCCAAGAAGAGATGTTAGAGGGAAAATCAGAGGGTGATTACAAAGTAGGTAAAGTCAGTCCTGTCGCATCAGAAAAGCATTATGCATATGCTTGTAGAAGTTGTACAACCACAAACCAATTACGCGAATACAACCCAAATATACAACCATATCAAACCAATTAAGTTTGATAACTTACGGGAGATTGTTTTGCCTAGAATGTGAATTTTAGTTACTGTTACAGCGCAGTATGGTATGCGAAAACATTCATTATAGCGTCCCAAAACAGACTGCCCTCACAGTACTAATGAATCCTGTCAACATGGATGAATGCCCAGTCAAACATGAGTGAATATGATCAAATGGTGAGAGAAGGGGCCGCCTTTCACTTGGTAATGAGGTCAGCTGATTGCAGTCTGTAATTGTACAAGCGTCACCAAGGTGACAAACAATGGCTCGGGGGATGCATCACTGAAACGCATGAATGGAATCACGAATGAAAGATCTCCCCACGGATGACAGTGGAATCACTGGCCTTTTCTCAATTGACTTGCTCAACTCCTGTCTGGTCTCCTTTTGAAAAAGGTAAATCGAGGAGAGGAAACGTGGACGAAAATGCACTTGTATGAAATGAGACTCATTCACTCGCGCGTCAGACAAATGCTGTTTACAGGGGATGGATCCCAAAATAAGTGTAAAGTCATAAATGAAGTTAGTTGTGCAATACATTTTATAGATAAAAACAATTAGCTACTTATTGTTTTAAAAGTGTACATGCTTTTCTCCTCAGACAAAACAAAAGCAGATTGAAAGGGGGTGTGGCAGATTTCAAAACTCTTCCACGAAGGACTCAGATAGGATACACATGACTATCCTCGATGAAAGGTGGCTATCGAGGAGGGGAGGACACTCTACCGTTCGCCTACTTACGAATTGACATCTCCTCGACCACTTATTGGTTTCCAGGTCACAGAGGAGAGAGGACAGAGGGTGGAGGACGGACTTTTGCCCAAATAAGAAAAGGCCACTGACTGCACAATCCTCTCTCCAGATCGATTAACTGAATCTACCATGGGAATCTTTCCATGTCATTTCGGCAAGCAATGACACCCACCATCACAGATTGTTCTGAAATAGTTTCTGTAGTTAAAAACAGATAATAAGTTATTCCACACCAATCTCGACAAATAATTTCTGTATGGACCTCGCTTTGTGCACGGGGGCATTGTCATGCTGAAACAGAAAGGGCCTTCCCTAAACTGTTGCCGCAAAGTTGGAAGCACAGAATCGTCTAGAATGCCATTGTATGCTGTAGCGTTACAGTTTCCCTTCACTGGAACTAAGGGGCCTAGCCAAACCACGAAAACAGCCCCAGAACATTATTCCTCCTCCACCAAAAACGTTACAGTTGGCACTATGCGTTGGGGCAGGTAGCGTTCTCCTGGCATCCACCAAACCCAGACTCGTCCGTCTGACTGCCAGATGGTGAAGCGTGATTCATCACTCCAGAGAACGTGTTTTCACTGCTCCAGAGTTAAATGGCAGCGAGCTTTACACCACTCCAGCAGACGCTTGGCATTGCGCATGGTGATCTTAGGCCATGGAAACCCATTTAATGAAGCTCCTGACAAACAGTTATTGTGCTGACGTTGCTTCCAGAGGCAGTTTGGAACTCAGTAGTGAGTGTTGCAACTGAGGACAAATGATATTTACGCGCTAGAGCACTCGCCGGTCCCGTTCTGTGAGCTTTGACACTGACTTTTTGGAAAGGTGGCATCCTATGACGGTGCCACGATGAGTCACTGAGCTCTTCAGTAAGGCCATTCTACAGCTAATGTTGGGCTATGGAGATTGCATGGCTGCGTCCTTGATTTTATTCACCGGTCAGCAATGGGTGATGCTAGAATAACCGAATCCACATACTTTTCTATAAATAGTGTATTCAATAAATATTAGGGCTGTCAATGTTAACGCGTTACATTGCCGTTAATGCTTTCATGGAGGACTTGAATTGTGAGGATGACCACACAATTTATTTTATCAAGAGCAAAAGCTAGTGAGTTTTCTACCCAAAGATGCAAAGAAAATGTTGTGATCCATTTAATCAAACACAAGAGACCATCAAATTTGATTAAAGGGTGTGGCAGTAGGAGGAACAGTGGCATATAGTGGGCAAAACCTAGTACCTTCATACTAATTTATGGTAAGTAATGCAAGCAACTTAAAAATGGCAAATTTCTCTGATCCTGGGGGGAAAAACGTCACCAGATTCACAGGGAATACATTACAAAGGATGAAGAAGCACTACTCCAAGCCGCAGCGCCATACTACTTGTCAGACAGAACTGATACCGGGGGGGGGGCGGGGGTCCATGGGTGGCTTTTGGTCATTTTATTAGATTCCTCAGGTCTTAGTCATTGTTAGGAAGAATAATGGGTGCAATCAATTAGCTTAATTTCTCAAAGATCAAATGATATTTCAACAAAATAATGTTTCAGAAATGCTACTCTTATCGGTTTCCAACAACAGAAACAATTTCAGCACAATCTGAGATGTGGGTGTCGAAATTCTCTCGTGCTTGGAGGTGGAACATCCCATGATCGTTGTTCACTTGGGAGGAATATAGCTTGGATTGAAAGCAGAGTTCTCTCTGTCTCCCTCTAGTCATTTCATCCTCAAGGTAGGCAGAAAATCAATAACAGAGGATAGGAGCCCCCAGTGAGGTCGTCCATCGCCCACTGATGAGGAGACGAGGACAATGCTGCTATTAGTAGAGTTATGACTGATCATAAAACCTCCAGATAATCTACCAACCAAAGCTTGCTGCGGTAAACAAGACCGCCCTTTTAAGACCAAACATTACACTCTTGACAAGAGTAGTCTTGTATTGCATAACATTTATGAGAAAAGTCCAGGTTACTTCATTTTAGAGAACGAGTAGTGACAATAGTAATCCATGGAATTCTTTGCAAGAACTGGCATGAGAAAATGAATTATGGTGACATTATAGGAAAATTAATGGCCACAATAAGCATTTTACAACTGGCATAACATTTCACTTGACCAATAAGTAAAATAACACCGGTTGAAATGACAATACAATTAACATGACAATACATTCCATGTAAATTATTGTAAAAGACATACCCTGATAAATGTCACACAACTCAGATGACAGTAAACCAGGTAGCCTCCTAGAGACGCAGTCAACTGGCTTCTATCAATGTAGTTGGAAAGTTCGAAGACTTCTCTCAGCAAAACTCTGTTGGTTTTAAAAGGATGATTAGCCCCACACACATACTAGCTTCATGCTACATATGAAAGGTGAAATCATAGTCAGTGAAACCATCTTACCTTGAAGGGAGCAACATAAGACTTTGATGGTACCAGCTGTTTCAACAATAGTTTCAGAACATCTTTATTTTATTTTTCGGTTTAATCATGTATACAGTGTCCTCCTATGCAGCTAGATAATAATAATTAGTCATTTAGCAGACGCTCTTATCCAGAGCGTCTTACAGGAGTAATAAGGGTTAAGTGCCTTGCTCAAGGGCACATCGGCAGATTTTTCACCTAGTCGGCTCGGGGATTAGAACCAGCGACCTTTCGGTTACTGGCACAATGCTCTTAACCACTAAGCTACCTGCCGCCCAGATCAGGTGAGAAATGCATGTTACATTTTCATCAACATTAATTAATGACAACAAGATAATGACAACAAGTCAAAATCAAACTCTTTCTAACAGTACAGATGGGGCACATCAAAACCCTCCCCAGATGTGTAATTGTAATGAGCACCACTTGTCTGTGGCCATGATAAATGAGGATGACAAACTGACCTGAAGATTCACTGCACCCTTTTCAAAAATGACTAAACCTACGAACATGTCTATGTCTACGAACATACTAATGTACTCATTAGTATGTTCGTAGACATTGAGTCTGCAATTTGATTACTAAAATGATAAGGTTGTTCTACTACAAGTAATCAGACAAATAAAGCCACAGTGAACGGTGTATTGCTGATTTCCAAACAACCCATTTAGCTCAGATAATGCAATTCCACTAGAAAGCCTCCATTTTTTAATAACTGAAGGCATATGATCCAACATGCATGTGATTCATTCAGTCCACCCCCACCACAGCTTCAGTATTTTAGCCCCAAGAACAATTCCACTATGAACAATCACAAACTGCATTGTGACCTGAAGATCAACCTCAGACAAAATCACTTTAAATTGGCAAAATGTAATTGAGTTACATAATGACATAGGCGTGACAGAAAGGCCAATCATAGGTGGGGCATCTTGTTGCTGAAAATCTTTGTAGTTGAACTGGACACAAAACTTTGACTCAAAATCATTTAAAAAATATATATAATTATGTAAAAGTGGACTAAGGTGAAGGCCTACTAATTAACATTTACAAAATAGCCTCCAACACTCTACTCAGCAAATTGGATGTAGTCTATCACAGTGCCATCCGTTTTGTCTCCAAAGCCCCATACACTACCCACCACTGTGACCTGTACGCTCTTGTTGGCTGGTCCTCACTACATGTTCGTCGTCAAACCCACTGGCTCCAGGCCATCTATAAATCACTGCTAGGCAAATCCCCGTCTTATCTTAGCTCATTGGTCACCATAGCAGCACCCACCCGTAGTCTGCGCTCCAGCAGGTATATCTCACTGGTCATTCCCAAAGCCAACACCTCCTTTGGCCGCCATTCCTTCCAGTTCTCTGCTGCCAATGACTGGAACGAATTGCAAAAATCTCTGAAGCTGGAGACTCTTATCTCCCTCACTAACTTTAAGCATCATTTGTCAGAGCACCTTACCGATCACTGCACCTGTACACAGCCCATCTGAAATTAGCCCACCCAACTACCTCATCCCTATATTGTTATTTATTTTGCTCTTTTGCAACCCAGTATCTCTATTTGCACATAATCTCTTGCACATCTAGCATTCCAGTGTTAATACTAATTGTAATTATTTTGCACTATAGCCTATTTATTGCCTTACCTCCATAACTTGCTACATTTGCACACATTGTATATATATTTTCTGTTGTATTTTTTGACTTTATGTTTTTTTACCCCATATGTAACTCTGTGTTGTTTTTATCGCACTGCTTTGCTTTATCTTGGCCAGGTCGCAGTTGTAAATGAGAACTTGTTCTCAACTGGCTTACCTGGTTAAATAAAGGTTAAATAAAAATAAATAAATAAAAAACATTATGAAACAACTATGATGTTTGTTACTGTATAATAAAGCAATACCTTACAATGCATCTAGAACATAAAATGTGTCATCCAGTATAATCTTTATGAGTCGTACAAAACGAGACATTCTGCCTAAAGAATTGCTTCATATGGCAATTTATTCCCCCCTCGTTGCAAAATGATTAAAAAGATACCTCAAGGAGAAGAGTTTCAGCGATGAACCTAGTTGTAGTAAGAGTGGCTTGTCTCAAATCAGCCACAACTGAAACCAAGCTCTCCTCCTGTTTCTTACTATAAAAACGTGGTATTAGAAAGGCTTAACATGACTACAATCTTAAAATTACATCTAAAAACACACACATTAAATTGTACCCTTGGTACAAACTTGTGCAAACAGAGAAAGTAGTGTATGAAGTCAACCACTTCTGCTTTGGTTAGATCTGAAAGGTTGCCATGAGCATCCATAGGGAACATAACCAGAGGATATCCATGCTGATCAAAGGCACCTGTTGTTGAGATAATCATTTAATGGTCGCATTGTTACAGTTTGTATAATTAACATCGTGTTGTTATTGTTGTTTTGTCCGTTTGAATGTTACATTTTGCACCTTGTAGCCATGATAAATTGAGTGCACGTCTATTATAGCCTACCAGGGGAAACCACTGCTCCGGAGTTCAACACATGATCTGGAGGCAACGGCGTGGAGGGGGAGGACCCTTGGAATTCTGAAAGGATTTGTGGGAAACGAATATTTACATTAGAAACATGCTTGAGAACAATTTCATTGGCCTTTTCCCACTAATGTAGAAACCTGAGCGCCCGGCGCATTCCTAGACCCCCTCCCAACCCAACTCTGCAGTCTGCAGCCAAAATGTAGCAACACTATTGTCACTACAATACATCATTCAGAACAGAGCTTATTTGCAGACATACTTTACACCTTTCATTGTATCACAAACGCCACCGCCACACGTTACAGTAGATAGCAACATTATAACTTTGTAAATGTGTAACAAATTCTTAAGCTCGATTATTACCTGTTGCTTTGCGGCGGCTCATGATGGGGTTCTCACAGTTCTATCCAAATGTTGAAAGCTTCATGGTTATTTTTTGCCAAACAATTTAGAAACGATCCACTCATATTTCCCAAATAAAACCATTTAAAAGACAGCATTCTATTTTAGTTTCGATTTGAAAAGACACTTGGGATCTAGTCCACTTGTTTCCGCCATGTTGCATCCACTGAGAAGGGGATCATGCGGCTGAGCAATTCCAGTGAGTAGATGCTGCGAGCCCTCATTTATAACTTCAAAATTGGAGGGCGGGGAAAGATAACAAGAGAACGTGACATTCATCGGGAGACGCCTAGCTGTTGATATTCTGTGCACTATTTGCAATCAATGCAACGTTGTATATATATTTAAATATTTTAAGATTCCTGATAGAACAGGCAAGAGAACAATAAATGGCATGCACATTATGATTTTAAATAATAGACATTTAATCCTAATGTGAATGTAAATCATTCCTGGCATTCCTGTCCCATACACATCACATTTATAAAATAAAACTTTATCTACCAAAGTTTTGTTGTTGTTGATAAAACATAATTGGGTAGGCTACTACTTATAACAATCTGAGACGTATGCATGTTAATTTGCTCATATAATCAACAAGTGACCAGCCTATATGACAGGGGCTTATGATCTCTGGCATAAACACATAAACCCTCATGGAAGAAGTTTATTTTCAGATATCAAACAGACAAAATTACTGCAATTATTACACAAACAAATACAATGTGGCTAATGCAGATTTATTGCAGTTGACTAACGGTGATAGGCCAAAAAGATGCATGCTTTGCTGGGCTTCTATTTATTAATTTGACATTCATGGTGTGAGGGTGCTTTGCTGGTGATTTATTTAGAATTCAAGGCACACTTAACCAGCATGGCTACCACAGCATTCTGCAGTGATACGCCATCCCATCTGGTTTGGGCATAGTGAGACTATAATTTGTTTTTCAACAGGACAATGACCCAACACACCTCCAGGCTGTGTAAGGGCTATTTTACCAAGAAGGAGAGTGATAGAGTGCTGCATCAGATGACCTGGCCTCCACAATCACCTGACCTCAACCCAATTGAGATGGTTTGGGATGAGTCGGATGGCAGAGTGAAGGAAAAGCAGACATAAGTGCTCAGCATATGTGGGAACTCCTTCAAGACTGTTGGAAAAGCATTCCAGGCGAAGCTGGTTGAGAGAATGCCAAGAGTGTGCAAAGCTGTCATCAAGACAAAGGGTGACTATTTGAAGAATCTAAAATCTATTTTGATTTGTTTAACACTTTTTTGGTTACTACATGATTCCATATGTATTATTTCATCATTTTGATGTCTTCACTATTATTCTACAATGTAGAAAATAGTAAAAATAAAGAAAAACCCTTGAATGAGTAGATGTGTCCAAACTTTTGGCTGGTACTGTGTATATATATATATATATATATATATATATATATATTTGACCTTGCCCCACGCCTCCTCGGTAGCAGCTTTAATACACGTCTTCTCATTTTGAAACTCTGTCATGTAATACTGGTGTATGTTTTCTTCTATATCTACAATTCAACGTGATAGTCGCTTAAACATCTGTTACAGACTGCTATCATTGATAAGGAGTATTATTGGAGTGAATCTAATAAAGGAGGTTTGGACATACCAATGATGTTTGAGTGAGTACTCAACTGCTTCAGCTTTATCAGTGCTGCCAAACAAAGCTGTGAGAGTACAGCTTGTGGGCTCTCACTTTCTTGCAGTGCATCTATCACCTCCTTTAGACACACAGGAAGGATGCTGTGAAGCTTTGATTCCCACGTTGGGTTTCCCTTGCTCTTTGACTCAGTCCATTTTAGCTTTTACAGTGGACCTAACCTCACAAAGTACATCATTATTGAAGCATTAACTCCCAACCCATAGGGTGGGATATCTTGCTTTATTTAAAACTAGCTACAGAGATCTGTTTAAAGTACTTAAAATGCTGCCCTGTAGAAGAACAAAACAATATATAAGTACATGTGACTCCAAATGCATGTGTCTGAAAAAGAAAAAAACGAATTGTGATGCAATCTATGGTGCTGTTTCAACACTGGTCAGCTCTTTCTTGATGTGGAATCCTCTATAGGGTTTCTATGGGTTTACCTTGTTGTATTTATTCTCTAATGTAAATTGAGGCTTCAATAGTTTAATAAATGAATCCAATAGCTATTGCCTAATTTTAACAAAATGTAATAACCATAATCATTTTATACACAGATCAAGTGCTTTCAGCCCAAGCCATTTTCCCACAATAATGTTCAGGATATATTGCATATCTGATGTGATCAGTCCCATTTCGAGGTTTTCCTCCTCATGTTCTTCTCCCCTTCACTGTCAATAGCTTCATACAGCTGCTGGTCGTTCTCTTTGGTGGCGTGAAGGTAGCCAAGGTAGCCCACACACAAGGTGATTGTTATAAGTCCAAAGGCCATCACAGGCTTGTTCTGTAAAACAAATAAAGCACAAATGTCGTGACATGTGAACAACAAACGATACTGATAACATACTCATGTGTGCCTAATAAAATTGTAGCCGAGGAGTTCGTCAGTAGGCCTTACTGGTTTAATGAAGAGCTCAGGGTTGACAGCTCGGAAAAGCGTGGTGGTCTTCGCTCCTCTCAGGCCAGGAATCCTGAAATTCCCTTCTTTCGAAGCATTCTTATCGCTTCCAGATGCCATTGTACAGTTCTGTGGAGTCTTTTTTACGCAACCCTATTGTAGGAAAGAGTGCAAAGCGTTTGAGGAAACGTTATTGATGATGGAAAACATTCTGAACAATCAAAAGCGCATTCACAACACGTCCATTTGTTTTGAAAGTCATAACAGTCAACGAATGCAACAAGAAATGTATGTTTGTATGATCCAATTATACAGCGCCACCACGTGGATGGAGTACACTGCTATGGCACAGGCTGTTTTCGACAGTATGTGGAACAGCCTTTGGTTTGGTATTTAGCTTTACAGTAGCCTGTACCAAAGACTCAGCATAAATAATTGTGTATACGTTATTTCCCTGTATTCAGAAAAACTGTAATAGCTATTTAGCCTTGCACAGGACGAAAAGTGACTATCCTTTATTAACAGTCGTCATACGACACCTGGAATGCCTATAAAAAAAGAATGACCAGTAGCCACATTGAAGTCAACATTTGAAAGGGACATTCAAATAACAATTTAACTTAGATACAATTCTATAGGACTTTCTTATTCTTTCAGCAACGCAATTTGAACTCATAGACTGATATCTCCTACCACTGATGTTCAGTCCATGTGTGTTTAATGTGACCATTGTTACACTCGACTCTCCCAGAACAAAATGTAGGGTTGACGACAGATGAATGCACATAGTGACTCATGAATGGTGGCTACAGGTTTTAAGTCTAAAGGCATATTGAAAATAGACATAGGTTTAAATATAGGATTATTTTTGTTTACCTTTGTCACATTTCCCAACACACCTCCAGAAACAGTCTTTAATGTTAAACCTACAATCTAATAAAGAGAATGATAGGCCATATATGCTAATAGAAAAATACACATACAGGGTATGCTAAGGACTTTTATAGTGCTGCTCGTCCGCGATAGACTATTCAAATAATAAGCCCTCTGGGTACAAAATAGGTGTGGCCTCTTCGACAGGTGTGTTTAAGGTGCACATCTACTGCAGTAGCCAGCATCGGAAAATTGGCTCCTGAAAGAAACAGAAAGAACTGCAATAGCCGGTAATCGGTGAGTTAATAGTTTTATTTTCTTTCAATATTGTATTTGTCTGAACATAATAGTGATCCTAAGATAGGTTTAGCCTATGCTACTAGAAAAAGCGCACTATCACAGATCAAGTTGATAGAGTACTTGAAATAAATGAACTAATCAATGGCAATTTATTCACTGGAGAGTAATAGTAAAGGTAGAAGCTTTCGGTTTTTGTAAAAGGGAAATTCATTTATACATGATGGGATGCTACTGTACTGCTACCCAGGAAATACAGAGCCAGTACTGTTCTCATTGTTAAAAGTGCAACAGGCGTATTAAAGAGGAACATATTCCTTCCTATTCAGATTTGTTATCAACTTGATATTTGCCCTTTCCATTATTTTGCTATCAAACATTATTTTTATTTTGTAACACTTTACATAACATTATTACACTGTAATATGTGTAAGTAGCCTACAGTGTTAACAAGTATATAATGTATAATACTAGTTACAGTGGAGAGAATAATGGTGAAATAGAAATGTAGCCACGGAGCAACAAAAAATCCACAGTAGAACTCACTTTATTATGTCCTATGTGCAATGTATGATTGAAATCGATTTATATTGTTAGATGATGCCCTCTTCATAACAGGCAGAATTTAGTATTGGCCTTGTATCTACAGAGTTTTGTCCTAAATGGCAGCTTATTCCCTACATAGTGCACTACTTTTGAAAAGTAGTGCACTATGTAGGGATTATGGTTCCATTTGGGACGCACACTGCATTCTACAGTTTATCCATCATCCACAGGCTCATGTAATTAGAGAGATGTCGAACTGGGGGTTTCTGGAGAACGTCCTGAGTGGGGTGAACAAATACTCCACAGTCATCGGGCGCATCTGGCTCTCCATCGTCTTCATCTTCCGCATCCTTGTGTACGTGGCTGCTGCTGAGCAGGTCTGGAAGGACGAGAACAAGGACTTTGTCTGCAACATCCAGCAGCCTGGCTGTGAGAACGTGTGCTTCGACCATTTCTTCCCCATCTCCCAGATCCGCCTGTGGGCCCTCCAGCTCATCATGGTGTCCACTCCCTCCCTGTTGGTGGCTCTACACGTGGCCTACCGCGAGAACAGGGAGAGGAGGCATGGCAAGAAGCTCTATGAGGACAAAGGCAGGATTGACGGAGGCCTGCTCTTCACCTATATCCTCAGCCTCGTCTTCAAGACTACCTTCGAGGTGGGCTCCCTCCTGGCCTTCTACTTCCTCTACAGTGGCTTTGACGTTCCCAGACTGCTTCGCTGCAGCCTGGACCCTTGCCCAAACACGGTCGACTGCTACATCGCCAAAGCCACTGAGAAGAAGGTCTTTCTTTACATCATGGGCTGTACATCCATATTGTGTATTGTGCTGAATGTCTCAGAGATGGTGTACATTCTATCAAAACAGTGCTGGAAGTGTTTCAGCAAGCACTACATCCCTATTGAAGAGAGGGCTAGTCGGCATTGTCATCACACTGTCCCCATCAGCAACAGTACCTCAGCACTTCAGCCCACACTTAAAGATACGATGGGCTCACAAGATCCAGCTACAAAGGGAAACCAACCCATCCCCTCTTAAAGACGCACTATGCAGAAATTGCACCGCCATTTCCTGGTTGCTAAAACTCTAATAGTTAGCCTAATTTCAGTTTATGTGACAAAACAAGCAAGTATAGTGTAGAGAATCATTGTACCATCTAAACCACTGTGAAATATATTTTCCATAACCAAAAATATTGTATTTTCAGCTGTTTGAAGCTGGTGTACAAAACCAAAAGTAAAATATCATAGAAATAGCACACATAGAACAGATCTACCGCTTGTTAGACTTGCTTTCAATGAGCGTGAAAGATCTAACTCACATTTCTATGTGAATTTTGTCAGGTCGGCCAAAAAGTGACATATTGCAGCTTTTTAAATTGCATTCAATTACCGAATTTATTAAGTATGATCAGGACTTAATGAACTTTAATGATTTCAGTAATCAGGACTTCTTTGAACTTTAATGATTTCAGAAACTATGTAAAACCTGAAGTTATTCACCTTTAACCTTTTTTAATAGATACTGTCATGGTCCCTAGTGGAGGCCATTTACGTAAATATGACTGTCAGTGTAATTCTATTCTATAAATTGGTCGATTAATTCCATTGCGTCCATGGGATAGATAGTGCCTGTGCTAGCTTTTATGATAAACATAACTTTGATTGGTATAAATATCAATATTGTTGAATTTTAAGTAACGCAGTACTCCGCTGATCTTTCTTGATTAATGATGTATAGAAACCCATAAAACCTGCATGCTGTTTAGTGGTCATGTGATATCACAAGTCTATTGTTGTTAAACTACATTCCTCTTTTACACCAAGCACTTTACTGACTCTTTTCTGATTATAGGAGCTCCAGCATTCTTACTTGTGCAATGTATCTCTTGTACTTATGTGTGTGTGTGGTTTTACGTGTGTCTTGGCCATGTAATGTTTTTTTATAGATCATTCTACCAATTTCCCTGAAAACTATTCTTTCTCTGGGGGAATATGTTTTCTAAAACCCCTGTAATTAAAACAAAATGACATCTGACCACGTGATGAAAAGAAACACCAGTGAGAAATCCAAGCTATAATAAAACGGTTTATGTCAATTAAGTTAGACTGCTGGTGGCAGTAGTTGATTCAAAAAACAATATGTACACACAACATTGTCTACATACAAATTAAAATTTACAAGGCATGTTGAAACAACATTCACAAACTATACACAACATCACATTCCATTTGTTTGAAGGATCATTTCATTAAATGTCCCATGGGGATACATAACATCCTATGTTGTTTGCAAAGGCCATATAATGTGCTGAGAAGCTTCATAAATACAAGCATGCTTAATTTATCCTACTCATAACATCATATAAAATGAGCTCAATATACACTGTATAAGAGAGAAATAAAGGATTTTTACAGACTCAAGGTTACAGTAAATAACTTGTATTATTGTATAGTTTTAAAACAACTTTTACATAGTCCACAAAAAAAACTATGGATTTATATTTTGCAGTGAAAAATGAAAATTCTAAGTATTATTGTTTTGGGCACCATTCTGCTGCAGGTTGAAAACCATTCTAATCCTGAGTTACCGTGTTTTGACAAGCAAAACATTCAGTTGATACTAATCGCAATCTATTTTTCTAATATCACTGTGGGTCGCATTTCCTGGAGCTGCTTTAACAGAATATCAGCAACGTCTGAAAAGGCTTTGTCTACAACAATTTTCACATTGTTAAGTGACGTCAGCTTCTGAGGGTTCCTGAACACAAGGGTATCAAAGCCTTTTGGGTAATGCAAATATGCATCTGACCTTTTGCACAACACTGTAGCATTTCTTAGTCGAATCCTCTTCTTTAGAGAATTTTTAGGTGGGTTTGATTGCTCCAAGAACTTTAAGAAAGACATCTCGAATCCCATGGGCTTAAAGGAGGTCAATGTTTCATTTTGATCGTTCATTTCATCCTGGGTAAGGGCAGTGCTAGAGGAGTCGTAGTCTGATCCATTTTCTCCACAGTTAACTGCATTACTCCTGGTCAGTCTGGACACCCTCTTGCGTTTGACAATTTTTTCTAAATTACTTTTCCGTGGCCGCCCTCGTTTGCGTTTCACCACCACAGAGCCATCAGATATAGTTTCTGAAGTTTCATCGTACGAAGGTTTGGTGTCAGACAGTCCGCCCTTTCCCCTTCTCCGTAAGGCAGGTTTTGAATACTCATCATACTCACTTCCTTCTAGGCCCGTGTCTGCTGTGTCCTCACTGTCGGATATCTCGGAGGTCGTCTCAGACTTGGAGTCATCGCTCCTGGCAGACCGGGGGTTCCTACGTCTGGGGTATTTCTTGCAGAATATGAAGTGGCTTCTCTGCTCTTCTAAGTATCGCTCGGACAGTCCGTGCCCCATGTAGTGCTTCATGATGCTCCGTTCGGACTTCATCACTGAATCACAGCCCTTTATCATGCAAGGGTATTGCAAAGTGGTCTTCTTTATGCACATTGCAGACGCTTCATCCTTAGTTTTCAAGGAAGGTTTTCCATATTTAGTCCAATGACCTTTTTCCGTCTTCTCAGTTGTTTTCTTTTTGTCACCTCCCTTTTGTGTAATCTTTTTGTTGCTCTCTCGGTTTTCTTTCCCATCACTTGATTTAGTCAGTTGGTAAAGGGAATTCTTGGAGCTGGGTTTGCCAAGATCTTCACTTTTCTGTTGGTTCATCAGTTGGAGTTTGTAAAGGTCATTATGCTTTTTCATGGTGTGCCTCAGCAGGTTTGACTTTGTAGCATAAGCGTGGTCACAGCCATCAACATCACACTGGAACATCCCATCCACAGATTCCATTTTGGATAGTTTTGCCTTGTCATGTTCTTTTTCAACATGTCCTATGTACTTCCAGAAAGCAGTGAATGACGCCGTGCACCCTTGCTGATCACAACAGAATCTGCCTAGGTTGATGTTGGACATTAGAGATCCTGCTTTATCCAGGCTGAACTTGTGAAGCTGGAGGTAATGCTGTAACAGGTTCGGGACATCTTGGAATACTCTTGAGCAGTCGCTCACTTGACATCTGAATTCCGTTACCTGGGTGACTTCACCCTCTGGTTCTTCTTCCATAACCCCCTCCTGCTTGATGTCCTTTTTCTCATCCTGTTCATCATTTTGATCATTCTCATTTTTCATCTCACATGTGGACAGATCAGACTGATGCACAGCCCTGTAATGGAGGATTAAATTATGCTGAATGGTAAAGGCTGCAGCACACCCTTGATGAACACAGCGATATGGCCTGTATGGACTGAAAGCATTATTTGCCTCAGACTTCTTCTCTTTCGTCTTCTTGGGAATTTCAACTTTAGGCTTTGGTCCTCTCTGCTGCTTGATTTTGGGGGATTTTTCTAGCGAGGGACCACAAACCTGAAGGGGAATCTGATGGAGCCGGTGTCATTGAAGCAGCTCTTTCTGTCAGATAGCCTCCAGATTGTTGACTGTAATGACTAGGCCTACAAGGAACTGGTATGTGTTGTCCGTTTGACCATTGATCTGTATCAGGAGCAGTCATTAAGGGAAGTTGGGGTATTGTTGAGCAGTGTGCATTCATTTGATATTCAGACATTGGCATTAATGGAGTCAATGTCTGATCATGCATGGGTATCCTTTGCATTGGCTGCATTCCCATGGAGAGGCTGTTATTATGAAATCTCAAGTTAGCCATGCCTCGAGAAGTCTGCTGTTCTAAAGGCTGTGAGTGGTATTCTTGCTTTGTCTTTTCTCCTGAAGCAAACAAGTTGTTTCCAGTCACATCTTGATTTTGGTTAACATCCGGGAGTGAATATTGATGTGTAATATTATCTGTTATTGTGTGGGGAGCTGTGACCATCTGTCCAGACAAAGGAGGCTCTGAATGCACACTTGGTTTATTGTCATTATTAACAAATCCAACCGTGTTGCTTGACTGGCACTTTTTTAGTTGAGCAATCTCCTGCTGTGTTAATCTGTGAGCTGTCTGACAGTGTGCCCTAAGGTTTGAATTTCGCGTAAAAGTCTTATCACACATTTGACAAGAGAACGGGGCAAATTTCCCATGGTCTTTCTTAATCGAATTGATCATCTCATTGGTGTAATTGTGAGTCTTGGTGAGGTGTTTTAAAATGGCACCTTTTGTCATGGACCTGTAAGTGCAGTTGTCACTCTCACAGGCAAATGGCTTCATACAGCCATCAGGAATCTGTGTGTCCTTCTCTATTGAGACATTAGGCCCGAATGATTCAGTATCATTGCAAATATCTGTGCAGCTAGGTTTTGTGGAGGAATACGTTGGAGCAAGATCACAGACCTGTTTGTCTAAGTCTAGCCTCTCTAATGCAGTCTGAATGTCCACCATCCAGTGCTGTTGGTTTACAGGTGTTAGATTGGGACCAATATCAACATCATTTGCAACAATGCTGGTAGGTGCAGGTGCCTCATGGTGTTGAGAGGAAGCCTCTCTGAAATGAGTGAAACTCTGCATGGTTGCGGCTCCGTTCATTTGGGCAGAGGATACAGAGGGGATTCCGTGATCAATCGTCTTGGAAGGCTGAGGACTTTGATGAACTCCAAAATGTTGTACAACATTGGTTGCTGGATTGGTTGACACCGGACTCAAACTGTCATTTGTGTCAGTGCTGCTTGTCTGAGATAAACTGCTTCTTCTTTGGAAGTCTCCAGCTAAAATCTGTTCACGCAATCTTTTCTTGACATTCTGTTCCGTACTCTTCCTCTGTGTCTCTGCCAGTTTGCTACTTGTTGTTGCTGGACTGTGTTGAGGCTGAGGGTCTGGAGAAGTGATCTGCAACATGGGGTTTGACATAACATTTTGTGCCAAACTAGCCATTGCAGCCAGAAGTCCATCATTAGACAGCCCTCCTGAATTGGAGACAGAATCAGAAGTTCCCTTTACTTCTTTCATCTTCATTAGTGTTTCTGATCTGAGTAAATGATCAATATGGTCTGTGGGAAGTCTGTGAAGTGATACCGTAGGGTTGTTTTCTGCAAGCATCTGAAAGAGAAGTGGATCAGAGAATGCACTGCTTCCAAACCCAGGGTCACATGACCGCGGAAGATAACCATCTCTATAAGACTCATTTTCACGCTTCATTTGGATATTTCCTGTGTGCTGTATAACTGTACTTTCTGGCAAGCGTCCACCAGGTCCGTAGGGGCCACACGCATTTTGGAATGTTGGCTGGGGAATTGCTGAGGGAATATTTGGAGTATCCATAATTTGTTTAAGAATCTCATCAGGTTGTTCGCCGTCATTTGCAAATGGTGCAGTAGGGTTATACAGTGAAGATGGTGGGGGCTGAGTATTGAGAAGTTGCTCTGAATTCAGAAGATCAAGAAAGGATGAAGGCAAGTCTGCTGTCAGGAGTTCCGTCTCATCAAAAGCTTTGCAGTGTGCACGCTTGGATAAATGGCCTCCAAGTGATTTGGGATTTGTAAATTCTCTACCACACCTTGAGCAAATGAATTTTCCATCTTTAACAATTGCAGGCCACTTTGTTCTTTTGTTACGCTTGACTTTTTTGCCCATTTGATTTTTTGCATCTCCAGAGTTTATCGTGCCATCTTGAGATTCACTTTTGCTTTTTGCTAGCAAGTTTCCTGCAGGGGCAAAGTGGGATTCCATGTTGGTTTGCTGCAATCCTCTACTTTTAGAACCTGGATTATTTTGAGTCTGTGGTGTGTAGGAAGGTGCAGAATTTCCCAGCTGATTTGAAAGACTTGAGTCTTTCAGAATGTCCATGTAAGAGGGGAAAACAGGCTGAAGACCATTATCCATAGGTGATGGTAGCAGTGACTCTGCTGCTCTTTCCATATTAGATCCCATCATATGACGGGATGGAATAACATAAACATCCATTCCTCCACCAACAGCATCCATTTGTGGCATCCCTTGAATGTTTGAAGGGTATACTTGGGAGGCATAACAATTCTGGATTTGGTTGTTTCCTGGTGTTTGTAGCCATGGCATACTAGGAGGTGCATATTGATTGTGGTTGTTTCCTAGCTGGGAGAGTACAATTGGATCTAAGATATTGTCCATTTGGTTGGGAAAAGCCTGGCTTTGGACAGCAGCTGAATGGGAAGCATAGGAGTGGTGTGAGTTTGGGTACGGGGGTGGCTGAATGACATTCTGCCTCTGAACTGGGGCACCATTAGCCTGTTGATGTTGTAGTGGAGCAACATAGTTATGGTTCCCAATCAGAGGCACACTTGATGGGGCAGCTTTCCTGGCCTTTTCAGCTTTTTCTTGATCCCTGATTTTCTTTTTCGCAAGTTTCCATTCAGTATAAAACTCAGGGTGAACTGCTTTCATGTGCTTGTTAACACTTTTGTAGGAGCTGTAGTTGCGATCGCATGTCTCCAAAGCACAGTGGTGTCTCTCTTTCTGTCCTTGGGGTGGGGCAAGAGCCGTTGGTAATGGGATTTGCTGTGGGGCAGGAGTGCTTGGTAATGGGCTCTGCTGTGGGGCAGGAGTGCTTGGTAATAGGCACTGTGTTAATGAATTATCTGTTCTGCAACCAGTGGCTGGCAAACGAGTGACTAGTGGAAGAAGTGTAGGAGATGCATATGGGAGAGTTTGAGGCATTGGAGTTGACATGTAATGGGAGGTCTGGCTTGCTGCTGACATGTTGTTAACAGACATGTGTGGATGCTGTTGTTGTTGTGCTTGCACTGGTACTCTGTAGTCAGAATTGTAGTTCCTGGATCCATAACTTCCACCTTTCAGCAAACCCTGGTCCTGATCTTGTAACACATTTGGCTGTAAGGCATTGTGCAAATCCCCAGCTAATGGATTATGTGGCTGTGATTTGGGTCTCATATAGTCATATCCAGCAGCCATTGAGGGGTCTTGGGGTCTATGTCTCAGTTGATTTGGGTCATGCGTTTGTGCATTTGTGATAGACCGAATCACAGAACTTTCTGAACATGGGTAAAGGTCTTTTTCTTGTGGCTGACTTTTAATCATGTATCGTCGATCATTTTGAACAGGACCTTGAGAAGCGTTCAGCAGGTTCTCAATCGAGTGCTTCACCGCAACAGATGCTGGTGGATGAGAAGCCTCAACCTCCTCTGAGAAGGAAGCCTGATCAGAGAGAATCCTCTGGTCCAGAGAATGAGAAAGGTCAGAGTCTGTAGCTGGGTATTCCTCCTCTTTTGTGACATGTTCCTCTTGGTGGAGATCCAACTGTGACTGAGAATGGAACACTTTACCACAGTTAGGGACTTTGCAGGTGAACGTTTTGTAATGCTGTGCCTCATGGTCGTAAAGCTTGTAGGCTTCATTGAAAATCTTTCCACATCTAGGAAACATGCATCTGGCTTTAAATATGACATGTTCTTTCCTGTGTACAAGCAGCTCCGTGTTGGATAGAAAGCTGGCCTTGCAGTTCAACTGTATGCAAATGTAAGGTCTGACACCACAGTGCACTTGCAAATGATCATTAAGGTGGGTGACGTTAACAAACTGGCGACGACAATACTGACAAATCACCTTTTTACGCTGCATTTCAAGGAAGCGCTTTGCTTCATCGTTTTCTCCATGTGCTTTCACATGGACAAGAAGATTTCGGAAATACTTGAATCCCTTTTTGCAGTTTGCAATAGGGCATGTGTTTTCCTCAGTGCTGCTTTCTGTCTTAAGTCCAGAGACTTTGGTCTGAACTGTTTCTGTCTGAAGCGACTGCCCATTGTGTTCTTGGGATTCGCCATTTGCATCTTTTGTCCAAAGTAGATTTTCAGTTTTCGCTTTCAGAGCCGCGATAACAGGAGCAGCCGTTTTGGGATTAGCCAATTTTTTATTTGTTTTAATTGCAGCTAGTCTTTCCTTGCATGATAGCTTTACGTGTGATGCCACGTGTGGTTCCAATGTGTCTTTTGAGGTGAAGGTCTCAGCGCATATCGGGCAGCTATAAAGTCCATCTTTGTAGTGAGTCTGTGCATGACGTACAATCCTGTGACCCAGAAACTCCTTGTCACACAGAACACAGTACTGCATATATGCCTGCCAGTTTCTAAACCTGGCCGAGATGAACCCTTTCTCTCTCAGTTTCTTTGTCTCTCGGATTTTCTGTCTTTTATCAACTATTTCATTCAGTTCATGTGTGGTGTCAATAAAGCAGTCCGTGACGTCTCTGAACCCTTCCTCACCCTGGGCTGTGTCCTCCTCCTCAGATGCCTCTGGGCTCTCATTGTCATTCAGCAAGTCAATAGAGGACACAATGGAGGCCTCCTCGCCCATAAGGGTCAGGCAGTGACGCTTCAGTGTCTTCCAGTCCCAGAACTCAGGGTCAAAAGGCCACTGGGTCTTGAACACCAGCAGAAGCTCACAACGGAGCGAGTTGGGCACGGGAAGATTCTCCTCCTCCAGCTTCTGGTCTGGTTCATTGTAGAGTGTCTCCACGGCGTAGTAGGAGTCCACTGTGGGTTCCAGGAGGAACTCCGTCAGCTGGCAGGCCCGCTTTACCTCCAGATCAGTGGGCAGCAAACAGGAGATGGTTTTGCAAATGTTGGCCTTGGTGTTGCCATCACTTGATTCCAACTGTAGAGCCCGTATGCACATGTCAACGCATACTGGCAGTCCAACCTTGTCCACCTGTAAAATAAACAAAAAGGGATATTCTTTGAGTCTCACTTAACTTCATTTGAATATGAATACATAGCAAGAAGGCGTAGAGTGCTGTATATACAATGTGAATGTTTTTGTGTGTCTGCATGCACATTGAACAAAACCATTTATGTATCTGGAATGAAGCTTACTTCTGATTGAATGACTTTGATGAGAAAGAGGATGTGGAAGACTGTTTTGGACAGCAAAGACATCTGATGACATCTGTCTAGGAAAGTCTCTTCAGATGACTCTAACCGCTTCAGCAGTTTGCTCCAAAACAGTGTCAGCTCCCTGCAGAGGGAATAAATAATAATCATGATATATTCTATAATCCCAGATTTATCTGAAGAAGAGAGATTAGATTACAGTAAAGTACAGACAATGCTTTAAAAATAGATATATTTTAAGTAGGAAGGATTAATAAAACAATATTCATTCATTGCATATGTCAAACACAGAGATAGGAGGCCTTCAATAAGGTGGGCTTTGATGTATGAAATGTTGCATTGTTACCAGGCACAGTAAGTGTCTCCTTGGAGAAGCTGTTGTTTCAGAAAGGCGGAGCATAGGCTGAAGGCTCCCCTCTCATCCCCTTCTGACTCCAGGTTACAGATCATTTCTAGTGCATCGCGGCAATCCACGTTGGAGAGCTATGTAGAAAAGCAAGAGTAATTGCATTCAAAACATATTTCACTGTCCACTAGATGTCTGTGGTATTTAATAGCTTCCTTGTAGGTCTGCCTTAAAGCTAAGATCTGCATAAGGTGAAACAGCGCCACTGGTCGCCCCAGGCACATTTGTAATTTTTTCTTTTTTTAAACGGGGCAGAGGAGCATCCTGCATCATGGTAAAAAATTAATAATCATAGTACATACTCTGTTGTATCGTGCGTGCAATGATGTCTGAGAACAACAAAATGGCTTAGCTCTTGCAATATCGCAAACGGACGTGGCAGTTTCACCGCTACGGATTCCAGCTTTAAGCTGCCATGAACAGACATTAACATTTAAATATCTCCATGGAATGGCCTGCCCTCTTGTGGATGATATCCTCAATTTCATCAAATTTAAAACAATAGAGAAGACCAAGCAATTCTGAATAGTGCAATGAAACCACGGGCCTGACAGTTAAATATTGAAAAACATTGTTTTTTTTACAGACTCCCTCAAGTAACTTACCTCCTCCATTAGTGGTTCCTGTGCTGAGACAGCACACAAGCAGACAAGGTACATCTGCTTAAAGTGCCCTTTTCCTTCAAACTCAGGATACTCTGCACATGCCTTTGCCAGCAGTGCAGCCCTCTCCAGATGGTTCTCCTTGATAAGGTGCTTTACTCTCATCTCCAACAGAATGGGTCCCTCCAGTTCAAGGAACTTATGAACTAAAGGGAATGATGGGGATATTCAGGTTCAGAGATAATACATTTACATTTTACATTTTAGTCATTTAGCAGACGCTCTTATCCAGAGCGACTTACAGGAGCATTTAGGGTTAAGTGCCTTGCACATCGACAGATTTTTCACCTAGTCGGCTCGGGGATTAGAACCAGCGACCTTTCGGTTACTGGCACAACGCTCTACCCACTAAGCTACCTGGTTGAAATGTACAAGACTTGAATAACAATGACGGGCGCATCCCAAATCGCACCCTACTTTTTACATAGTTTAGAGCACTATATTTGGAATAGTGTGCAATTTTAGATGCAGCATATTAAAAGAACGCTCACCTTTCTCGGTTTGTGGCGACTCGTTAGAGAGGAGACTGTGCAGGGTGCCGTTGGTCCACACGCCAGTCTCCTGGGCCACGGTAGACAGGAGGGACAGCTGTGTGATGCCATTCTCCTGCAGCTGGGATTGGGCTGACTGCAACACAGGATTCACTCAGTGACACCATTGTCATCACTGAAAGTACTTTTAGAAGCAATTATGCATTTAAAAATGGTGCAACCAAACAACACATAATATTAAGTAGTAGATCTCTTAAACAGACAAAATTATAATGATCTTATCTTAAAAGACAACACCCTGAACAAATAAAGTAACTAATTCAGGAATACAGTAATTCTAAAGTAAAACAAGGGTAGTTGACAAGATATCTCACTGAATATAAAAAGAGAAACATTTCACCCTCTGCATGACAGTTTTGCACTTTACCTGAACAGATGACTTGAACTCTTCCCACAAGGCATCTGGGAAGTGTTCTGGCAGGGAGAGCAGCAGCTCCAGACAGCTCCTGTACAACCAACAGGAAACCAAATCAGGCAACCCAAACAGCTCCTTTCATGATGACTAAACCCTTTGGATCTTGTGCAGTGATTTAAACATGATCATCTGAAGAATAAAGCCAGGTCTGACTTGTAATAATCAAGAATAGTAAAAAGCACTATTAGCTGGTATTAGCTACTTTAACCAATGTTTTTATTCTACATGCAGGGTGTATAATGAGGTTCATCTAAAAAATGTAATGGTACTAATCTTGCAAGCACGTTACACCCCTCCAATAAGACGGGCATACTTACAGTGAGAGCCTTTCAAGTACGAGGGGTACGTTTTCACATTGGGAGGAGAGGCAGGGGGAAGCCTGGGCGTAGCTCAGCAGAGCCACGGTGTACACCTCCACCAGGGGCAGTGGGTCCTCCTCCATCCTCCATCGACCAGCATACTCCACCAGAGTCTAGAGACAGTGAGAGGGGGGGGGGGTTACACCCACCCAGTCAGTTCTCTTGAAGCTACTAATAAACTACAAATGCAGAGGTTTGATATCATTAGATGTAATATATCGCCTACTACTCTACTGCCGAAAGCAATTTGCAACAGGAGGGGAACAAATTGCTACAATTAACCTATAAAAGTTTGTTGTAGCCTATGTGAAATTACAAGCAGTTGTTATGTACCCTGTTAAGACCACTAGAATAACAGACGGTGTTAAGCTACCAACCACTTAATGGCGGATGGGGTTTAACACAACTTGAAGCGATGTTTCGCCAAAGTCCTATGCAACAGAAAAGCTGTGTAGCCGCTTTCCATTGCATAGATGGAGGAAGTGACAGCCTGTAACACTGACCACACACAGAAGCTATGCGCTGTTGAAAGTACCACAACTCAAAAACCACATGGGAACTGGATATCATTTTACATCACTGATTAGAGGACAACCTGCAAAACAGTCAGCTACATTTTGGAATGTTTTATTTTGATACAGGGTTTACCAAAACAGAAAGAGAAAGGAACAGTACAAAACCAAAAGATATTGATCAGTTTTAAGCAATTGATCTTGTGTCATCGTGTTGACTATACACTTTTACACTAAAATTACCAATATGAGGTAAAAAGGGTGTAATTCCCCCCAATTCCATGTGATCAAACCGTCAGCTTGTGTAATGTAGCAACATATACTGTCCACATCACGAAAAGTAGTAATACAGTGCATTCGGAAAGTATTCAGGCCCCTTCCCTTCTTCCACATTGTTACGTTACAGCCTTATTCTAAAGTGGATTACATTTGTTTTCCTCATCAATCTACACACAATAACCCATAATGACAAAGTGATAACAGGTTTTTAGAAATGTTAACAAATTATTACAAATAAAAAACAGAACTACCTTATTTACATAAGTATTCAGACCCTTTGCTATGAGACTTGAAATTGAGCTCAGGTGCATCCTTTTTCCATTGATCATCCTTGAGACGTTTCTACAAGTTGATTAGAGTCCACCTGTGGTAAATTCAATTGATTGGACATGATTAGGAAAGGCCCACACCTGTCTATATAAGGTCCTACAGTTGACAGTGCATGTCAGAGCAAAAACCAAGCAATGAAGTCGAAGGAATTGCCCGTAGAGCGCCGAGACAGGATTGTGTCGAGGCACAGATCTGGGGAAGGGTACCAAAACATTTCTGCAGCATTGAAGGTCCCCAAGAACACAGTGGCCTCCATCATTCTTAAATGGAAGACATTTGGAACCACCAAGACTCTTCCTAGAGATGTCAGCGCGGCCAAACTGGGCAATCGGGGGAGAAGGGCCTTGGTCAGGGAGGTGACCAAGAACCCAATGGTCATACTGACAGAGCTCCAGAGTTCCTCTGTGGAGATGGGAGAACCTTCCAGAGGGACAACCATCTCTGCAGCACTCAATCTCTGCACACCAATTAGGCCTTTATCTTAGAGTGGCCAGAGAGAAGCCACTCCTCAGTAAAAGGCACAGCGCGCCTGGCACCATTCCTATGGTGAAGCATGGTGGTGGCAGCATCATGCTGTGGGGATGTTTTTCAGTGGCAGGGACTGGGAGACTAGTCAGGATCGAGGGAAAGATGAACAGAGCAAAGTAAAGAGTGATCCTTGATGAAAACCTGCTCCAGAGTGCTCAGGACCCCAGACTGGGGCGAAGGTTCACCTTCCAACAGGACAACGACCCTAAGAACACAGCCAAGACAAGGCAGGAGTGGCTTCGGGACAAGTCTCTGAATGTCCTTGAGTGGCCCAGCCAGAGCCCGGACTTGAACCCGATCAAGCATCTCTGGAGAGACCTGAAAATAGCTGTGCAGAGACGCTCACCATCCAACCTGACAGAACTTGAGAGGATCTGCCGAGAAGAATTGGAGAAACTTCCCAAATACAGGTGTGCCAAGCTTGTAGCGTCATACCCAAGAAGACACAAAGCTGTAATAGCTGCCAAAGGTGCTTCAACAAAGTACTGAGTAAAGGGTCTGAATACTTACGTAAATGTAATATTTCAATTTCTCAAAACCAGTTTTTGCTGTGTCATTGTGCGGTACTGTCTGGAAATCAATTTTAGAATAAGGCTGTAACGTAACAAAATGTGGAAAACATCAAGGAGTCTATATACTTTCCGAATGCACTGTACATGCAATAGATATGGCAACATAATGATATATCTTAATTTAGGATAGTAAATGAAACATGTAAATTCATCAATGGAGGAACATGTAGCCTAGCCTACGCTATATGTGTGTTATACCTCAGTATTGTGGAATTACTCACAATCTCAGCGCACCTTGGCATAGAAACAGTATGTTAACGCCATTGCATGGGTGGTTGGCTGCACTTTGTCGCAGATGGCTCGGTAACAAAAGCCTGCACGTGGAAAAAGCCTTCGCAGATTTGTGAAGTTATTGAGAGTTCACTCCAGTAAGAGTACCCTCTTTTGCTCTTCAGGAAATAAAAAGGCCAGAGCTGAGGCTAGCTAGACGCTAGAACATGACCTGATATGACCCATACAAGGTAACAAGGTGAGAGGATAGCTGTTAGACATCAGAACGCGCTTCAGCAGGCCTGTAACTCAACCACCACAACAAACAGTTGGTTTATTGAACCCCTTCCCTTCTGTGTGACCAAACATGCCTTTTACTGTTGACTTGGAGGAAGTAACGCAACAGCAACATCTTTACTGATCAACAATTTTATGGAGAAAAGATAGTCTCCATGTGCATTGAGATTCATCTCTCAAAATTACAAAAAGCACCTTTACTTGTTATAAAATGAAGGTAGGAAGAGGAGATATGCTAATTTGGTTGTGAGCACAATGTGTGGTCTTTTGAGGGGTTCATTAGGAAGACTTGCGCAAGGCAGACATGATTAGAGGTCTGACAGGCCAGTCACCTGGGAGAAGTGCAGCCAGGGAGGTGAACTGAGCCACAAGCAGCTCCATTAACACGTTCTCACCCAATGGCAAGTTGGCTACACTACTGAAGAATGACTGATAACCTCCAACTCAAAAAACAACATCCTGCTTGATGCCACCTGTAAAACTAAAGGTTACAAATACGCAGTGTACTTAGACACACTATAGCCTACAGTAGCTGCCTAAAGATCAATGTCTGACTTTCTCTCTAGTCTCCCGCACTCTCTACACAGGTGTTTATGACAGCTGCTTTTTAATTCACCTGGGCTCTGGTTGGCTCTCGAGTGGAACACAGCAGTGAGTGGATCACAAACAACTCTTAAAAAGGCATTCAAAACAATCCTACAGCCTGTGCTCATCTTTACTGCTAGAATAGTTAGCTGCTTAGCTGATAAAAACAACGCGCCACATCACATGCACAGATCATTTGTAAACAACACACTGACTGTCACTGACACAGATACACCAACGCACCACCACACGCTGGTAAAATGTTCTATTTAAAGTGTGTCAGCACAAGGATATAACCCATCAACATCAAACGTTCTGAAAGAGACATATCACAGCTGCCAGACACAGCTGAGATCAGAGGTCATGTGTATTTCATTTCATCGTGAGCTGCCCAGTGTGCCTACCGTAAACTGTGACTGGGCGAGGATCTCCCCTTCTGTTCTCCTTATCAGCTAATCAGTCAGCCTACAGGGAGGATGTCAGTGATCTGACAGTGTGGTGCCGGAACAACAACCTCTCCCTCATTTGGACTATTTTGTGTATGTCCATTACATGAAATACAAATACAAATCCATTTAAATTACAGGTTGTAATGCAACAAAAGAGGAAAAACGCCAAGGAGGATGAATACTTTTGCAAGGCACTGTAGACTATTTTCTCTGCTGACACCAACAGACTATTGACCAGCTTCTATACCCAAGCAACACGACTGATAAATAGCTACACGGACCGAGTTGACCTTGTATCTTTATTGACCTTTTATTTCTGTATTTGCACTGTCTCTGTGCACACTCACAGGGCCCTACACACTCACACATACTGTCACTCCAACACACTCACTTTGTCATTTGCTCACTCACACACAAATTTATACTGACTCTACACACACGCACACCTACTCACATGCAAGCTGCTGTTTCTCTTTATCTTACATCCTGTTGCCTAGTCACCTTACCCCTTTCATATCTACCTCCATCTCCAGTATCCCTGCACATGTAAATATGGTATATTTCCTGTCTATAGTATGCTTGCTTAGTGTATTTTATATTTCTTATTTCTCGTGTTTGTTTTTTTCTTTCTAGTAATACATTGTTATTAATTATTGCATTGTTGGGTTTTGAGTTTGCAAGAAAGGCATTTCACTGTACTTGTGCATGTGACATTAAACTCTCTCCACACACAGCCCCTATAAACATACCCTACTGTCTGATACCTTGGCAGTGACAGAGTATATCAAATGCATTGGCCAAAATGTATTCTAATTGGTTGTTTGCCTCATCACACATCTGTCAGACCGAAATCGAAAGAAAAGTAACAATTGAAAATAAATCAAACCATCAAGTGTTATCTTATCTAGGCTACAGGTTACAATCTTTATATAATGTAATAGAACTACATCCTTGTTACAAAGGCTCATGGTTGGAATAAGCCTAATGTAAACTAGATACACAGAATCGTGTTTACCCCTCCATTTTGATCTAGAGGAAGGAGGGGGACCTGGGCTGGCACTGACAGACATCTGGTAGAAAGCACACTGCCAGACAGATCAGCCAGACTAAAGGCGTCCGCATGCTTCCCATCCGAAACAATTCGTGCATATATTATAACGATATTGTGACGTTTCTGTTGGTTTCGTTTTTTCGGGGGCAAGCCAAAGTTCGGTGGCCGAAGTCCACACCCCTTTGTCTGTAATAGGTCAACAGTAGGGATTCGTCAACGAAGTGTTTGTTGTCATTCAACGAGAGACTAATCATTTTCATGCAAAAAAAATTAACACGAGAAAATTATATTTAGAATTGCATGACTAAGACCTCCTCTGCAAAAACGTCTAAATTAATTACAGATTTCTTGAGTCATCTTAGATTAATTCTGACTATTTTTAGGAAGTGTATGCTGGCTACGGTGACTGAAGAGGAACAAACATTACTATTGCTGCTTTTTTCTTGTTTTTCAAGCAAAGGTCTTTTAAGGGAGTATGCAAGGCACAGACGTTCACTTTCGCCTAGCCGAGTTCTGCTAGGAGCAAACCGAACCTTACATGCAGATGCCTTAACAGCAAAGTGGGATCATCCATATTCATCACTCTCCATGCTGAGACCAGGGGCAGCGGCGCGTCTCAAATGTCTCCACTCTCCAGAGAACACTGGCACAGTGTATCTAGGAACCCAGCTGGGCACCTGGGGATAGTGCTCTTTTAAGGATCATTCACCAAGGTGGTGGTGCATGGTGCAGCCGAGCGTGCTAGGGTGGAACACAAGTAGTTCTCCAACACAGACAGCAAAGGAAAATGCAAAACAATGTAGGCTGTTTGAAAAAGAATGGTGTATTATCATGAATCTCCAAAAGAGACTTATTTCAAAAACAGATGCTATTTTGTAAAACACACTGTGCTGAATTCAAATGTACATTATTTAAGTGTTAAGATGAAGAACCATGTTGCTCATCTGTTCTCTCTGTGTGTCCTTACATTCTCCCACACAGCACAAGGACAGTCATTGCCTCTAGCCACAGATAATCATCCATGCTTGATATTCTACTGCAACAATGGCTGCAACATCAAAGATTTTAAAAAATATACTCAGTAACACATTTCAACAGAATAAGAAACAGGATGCTAATAAGGTCTGCTACTGTTAAGGTGAATTTAGATTAGCCAACTCAGAAGAGTTAAAGGGATACTTCGGGATTTTGGCATGAAGGAAGTTAGAGGTAGTTTCGCGAGCCAATGCTAACTAGTGTTAGCGCAATGGCTGGAAGTCTATGGGTATCTGCTAGCAGTACCTCTTAACTTCCTTCATACTGGACACAGAGACATAAAAATGGTACCCACGAGTTCATCTGATTCTGGGGAAGTAGATAAAGGCCCTCATTGCCAAAATCCTGAAGTATCCCTTTAAGTACTAGGGATGTAATGATTCACCGATACACATCGGGCTCCGATTCAAAAGATACAAGTACATTGGTGAAAATAGAACATGAAAATAGAGATCCTTGGCCATGTACACCAGCGGTGGGTTTTGCATCGAAAGAAGGATGTATTGTGCAGAACATATTCCCATATCTACTGTAAAATATGGTGGTGGATCGTTTAGGTTATGGGGCTATTTTGCTTCCACTAGTCCTAGGGTCCTTGTTAAGGTCAACAGCATTATGAACTTTACCCGGTAATAGGATGTTTTAGCCAAAAACCTGATTGCCTCTGCCAAGAGGCTGAAACTTGGCTGCAATTGGAACTTCCAGCAAGGCAATATTCCCAAGCACACATCAAAATCCAAAAAGAAAATGGTTAATTAACCACAAAATCAACATTTTGCCATGGCCATCTCAGTCTCCGGACCTGATGTTTAAATTGAAGAGGGCAGTCCATAAGCACAAACGAAGGATATCAAGGATCTGATTCTGTAGGAATGGTCAAAGATCCCTCCCAATGTGTTCTCCAATTTAATAAAACATTTTAGAAAAAGGTTCAGTGCCATTATCCTCGCATGGTGAGGTATTGAAAACAGGGCTGCCAATAATTTTGACCCTCATCTTTGAGAAAAAATTTTTTATTTGTTAAACAAAATCTCTTTGAGCAATTGTATTAGTACAAAATATTTTTATTTTATACAATATAGCTCAGTATTTGTATACTTTATTTTATAGTCTTTTTTGATGATCTTTATCAAGGGTGCCAATAATTTTGGACCTGACTGTAGGTGAATGAAAATTCGGAGCATGTCGGGAGTGTGTTGGACGCAGTTTGTTGAAATTCTCCCGGATAATCTGATGGTTTCGTCGGTTTGACTTTTGACACGAGCCAATCACCACAGAATGCAGGGCGTTCCCAATGCATACATTTTGGTGCCCACACAGGTAGACAGAAAGCTCATGCAGTGACGCCGGAGAAGATGGCTGCCGTTTTACAGCCCTCTAACCAATTGTACTATTGTGTGTGTTTTCTCGCGTTATTTGTAATTTATTCTGTACATAATGTTTCTGCCATCATCTCTTATAACCAAAAAGAGCTTCTGGATATCAGGACAGCGATTACTCACCTCGTATTGGACAAACGCTTTTTCTTCAACGAGTCGGACGCAAAGGATATCCTACAGACACCCGACAAGGCCCAAATCCATGTCATTCGCATGAGAAAGAGAGAGATATCGTGGGCGTAGGTCGGGGTGCCTTGTAAGGATCCGACGGCGAGTGAGTAAACTGCCTCTTCCATCAATCCTATTAGCCAATGTTCAATCATTTGAAAATAAATTAGATGACCTAAGATTACGGTTATCCTACCAACGGGACATTAAAAACTGTAATATCTTATGTTTCACTGAGTCGTGGCTGAACGACAACATGGACAACATACAGCTGACGGGATATACGCTACATCGGCAGGATAGAATGGCTGACTCTGGTAAGACAAGGGGTGGCGGTCTGTGTATATTTGTAAACAACAGCTGGTGCACAAAATCAAATACTAAGGAAGTCTCGAGGTTTTGCTCGCCTGAGGTAGAGTATCTTATGATCAGCTGTAGACCACACTATTTACCAAGAGAGTTTATCTATATTTTTCATAGCTGTCTATTTACCACCACAAACCAATGCTGGCATTAAGATTGCACTGAATGAGCTGTATAAGGCCATAAGTAAACAGGAAAACGCTCATCCAGAGGCAGCGCTCCTAGTGGCCGGGGACTTTAATGCAGGGAAACTTTAATCCGTTCTACCTAATTTCTACCAGCATATTAAAATGTGCAACCAGAGGGAAAAATAACTCTAGACCACCTTTACTCCACACACAGAGACGCATA